GAGACGTCGTCGTCGAGGGACGGGCGCGCGAGGGCGGCGGAGGCGTTGATTCGACACGACGCGGACGATAATCTCATCGATGGTTTGGACGCGCTCTTGGGCGAGGTCTCCATCGCGTCGTCGCCCAGGGTGGAGTCTCCGGAGCGCGCCGACGGGACGTTTCGATCGCCGTCGTTGGCGTCGTCGACGTCGCGCTCGACGAGTCAGACGATGATGAATGATTTCGACGACGTGCTCTCGTCGTCCGCGGAGGTGGAGCCGACCGTGGGGTTGGCGCGCTTCAGATCGGCCGCTATCGCGGATCCACCGGAGAACGCGCGCGCGGCGCGGGAAACGACTCCGCCACCGAAACCGTCGACGACGACGCGACCGGAGGAGATCTCGTCGACGTCGAAACTGTCGGCGAAACTCTACACCGCGTCCTCGACGGCGAGCTCGGTGGAGGATTTGGACGATTTCTTCAGCGCCGGAGCGGCCAAGTCGAGCGCGCCGTCGAGTCCGGCGGCGACGTCGAGCGTCGACCCCATAGAGGCAATGTTCACCGTTCCGAGCGCTGGAGGTTCGAGCGGCGCGTCGGTCCCTGTGAACGGTGTCGTCGATGATTTGTTCGGCGCGATGGACACGCGCGCGACGTCGCAACCGACGAGCGCGTCGAGCGGCTTTGAGTACAAACCAGACGAGGACGTCGATCCCAACGAGCCTCCGGAGCGCGCGGCGCTTCGCGCCGCTCGTCACGAGCGTAACCGTCAGCGCATAGAGCAAGCGCTCAAGGAGAAGCGCGCGAGAGAGAGCGCGGCGAGACAAGAACAATCCGAGAGACAAATGCTCAAGGACCTCATCGGAGCGGATATCGACGCGTGGCAAAAGAAAAACCAGAACAACATCCGCACCATGCTCGCCAACCTCGGCGACGTCTTGTGGGAGGGACATCGCTACAAGGCTCCCGACATGGCGACTTTGATGCAGCCGATCGGGGTGAAGAAGAGTTACCACAGGGCGCTCGTCGTCATTCATCCCGACAAGGTTTCGCAAGCCGGCGGCGACGCGTCTCAGCGCTACATCGCCGACAAGGTGTTCGACATCATGAAGATGGCGTACAAGGATTTCGAGGCGAAAGAGCTCAAGTGAGTTCCCTAGCAATCTTAGCCAGGCGTCGTCGCACAAAAAGTTACCTCAGCCTCTTCGCGTGTAACCGACGTCAGTCGTCGATGCGCCGTCGACTCGCCCTCGTCGTCCTCGTCCCGTTTCGCGAGGACGACACCCTCGCTCGTCGCTCCCAGCTCGATCATCTCATCCAGCGCTTTCGCGACGTCGCGTTCGTGGACGAATGCGCGCCCGCGCTCGTCGTCGTGGCCAAACAAACCTTTGACGGACGAAAGTTCAACCGAGGCCAGGCGTTGAACATCGCGTACGCCGTCGCGCGCGAGCGGTTTTCGAGCGAGATCGACGACGAGCGAACGCTCGTGGTGTGTCACGACTGCGACATGGCGCCGCGGGCGTCGACGGCGGCGCTGTACTTTGAAAGACCGAGCGCGAGACCCGGGACGCGCGTGTTGGAGGCGAGCGGATGTCGATACGCCGCGGACGGCTGTTTCGGTGGCGTCACCGTGTACGACGTCGAGAGTTGGGTGGCCACGAACGGGTACCCGAACGGGTTCTGGGGGTGGGGTGGAGAGGATCACGCGCAGTTCGCGAGGACGGTCGCGGCGGGCGTACGCGTCGAACGGGTGCCGAACGCGGCTTTCGACGATTTGGAACAGGGCGTCGAAACGGTTGAACTCAAGCTCGCGCGCTTAGACGAATCGAATGCGCGGATACGACAGAAAGAGAAGAACGAATTGCTGCGGCTGGACGCGAAGAATTGGAGGAACGACGGATTGAACGCGCTTCGCTTCTCGGTCGTGAGCGAGGAGGTGACGGTGTCGACGCCCGCGCTCACGTGCGTTGAAATCGACGTAGAGCTGCTGAGCGAGCGACCGGGATACGCGGTGTGTCATGCGTGTGAAAGAGATCTCCCGGAGAGCGATTACTCGTCGAACAGTCTTCGCAGGATCAAGTGGATGCGTGAGAGACAGCGAACGACGATGCACGGAAAATCGTGCGCCGACTGCACAAAGAAACTGCCAAACCAGGTCGCGGAGCGGCGAAACATCGAAGCGAACGAGGCGAACCTCGAGGAGCGCTTGACGTGCATGGATTGCGCGACAAAGTTTGAAAGCAGAAACGCGCTGTTCAAGCATCTCGCGGCGACGTCGTGCGGCGACGAGGATTAGCTGTTCCTGTTCGAGAGACTCTCTGTATTCTAAATTCTTTTCTAGCTATCCTTTCGCTAATCCGTCAATCGAAAACAACTTTCTTACCGCTGGGCTTCACGCCGCCACCGCCCCACGCTTGCTCGTCCGCCTTTAATTTCGCTTGCCAAGAGGGATGGAGCGGCTTCTCGGGCTCCGCCTTTTTAGTCGGGGCCACCGCGTGCTTTTTCACTGGAGGTTTTCCAGACGTTGCCGGTCTCTTCATGCCGCCGCCTTCATCAAACTTTACTTTTTTACCCGCGCCAGGAATGATAATCGGCGCCTGCTTGCGCTTCGCTTGCCAAGAGGGGTGCATGTTGCGCTCCTCCTCTTCCTTGGCTCGACGCTCAGCTTCAGCCTTTTCCCGCTCCGCAATCAAGTGCGCAGCGTTCGCGCCAAACTTTGCCTCTGCGATTTGACGACGCATTCGTTGCCCCATACGTTTCTTCACCTTTTTCTTTTTCGGCTCAAGATCGAGGTTATCCACGTCGTCGTCCGCTCTGGATGATTTACTCTTTTTGGACTTTTTCGACGCCTTGGCCGCAGCCTTGGCGGCTCGAAGCTCTGCCATGGTCTCCTCGCTCAGGCTCACGTACCCTTCCTCGTCCACGGCGTTGGATTCGGAGTCGGAGTCGGATTCGTCGGACTCATCCGATTTAGAATCGTTCGGTTCGTCCTCTTCGCTCGACGACACCTCCTCTCCCGCGGCGCGGCGTTTCGCCTTTTCCTCCGCCTTGGCCTTCTCCACCGCCCGTTTCGCCTCGCGTTCAGCTTTTTCCTTGGCCCACTCCTCTCGCTTTTGCTTCCCGACCACCGCACGGTTCATCCTCTCCGCGATGGTGAGCAATCGCTCCTTGAGTGACTCGATCTCCGTCCTCGTCGCCTGCGCTCGCAACAACCGTCTCGCCGCGGCGACGTCCTCGCTCTCCCCATCCACGTCGTTCATCGCCAACGCGCTCGCCGCTTCGTCGCACACGTTCCTCAACACGTCATCGGCGCGCACCGCGTGGTTCAAATCCACCGCTTTCGTCGCCGTCGTCGTCTTCGCCTCGGCGCTCGCCGAGCCGTCGTCCGCGAACGCCTCCCGAACCGTCTGTTCAACTCGTCTTCGCACCGCCTCCGCGCATCGCTTCGAGAGGTCGTCGATGTCCATCTTACGCACGGCCTCGATCTGTTGCGTCGTCTTTCCCTCGTCCCCGTCCGAGTTCTTCGCGCGTCGAAGAAGTTTCTGTTCGTCAAAGGTTTTCGCCTTTTTCAGCGCTCGGCGAATTTGTTGCGACCCGTGATGCGTCTTCTTCTTCAGCTCGTCCTCGATGACGTCGAGTGAAGTGAAGTCCTTGGCGTGTCGCTTACGCGCCCACTTGGGCCAGGAATTCGGGGGCATCGAGACGCGTGTTCGACGCGAGGCGACGAGTGCGGCGCGGCTGCTACGAGTACGTTGCATGTTCACACGTTACAGACGGGATTCGACGCTAGAGCCAACGACGCTCGGATCTCTTGCGAATCTCTCGGGCGAGGTCGGCAAAATTAGCCGCGTCCGCCTCGAGGGCGGCGGATTTGTCCTGAATGGAGGCGAGCTTTTCTCCACGCTCCGCCGCGGCGTCTCGCGCGTCCGCCGCCGCGGAAGCCGCCGCCGAGGCTGTGTTTCGGCCGTACTTCTCTCTGATAGCCGCGGCGCTCGTCGCGCGCGTGGGCGTGACGCTCGTGGAGAAAAGCTCGTCGCGTGCTTTCCGTTCGGCGACGTCCCTTTTACCCGATGCGCTCGCTGGAACCGACGTGGAGGGCTCCTCGATGCGCGTCTCGGCGAAGAGCAACGCGAGATCTGTCGTCGTATGCACAGTCTCTCGCGGCGTCGGACGCTCGACGAGCGGTGACGTTGTAAACTGTTCGAACTTTTCCATCGCTTTCTTCGCGCGCTGACGAAGTGCCTCGCTCATAGTGAGTGTTTTACTCTTCTGAGTAGGCGTCACGGGCAAGGCGTCACGCTTGGGCGATGTGCCAACGGCGAGCTCGGGATCGTTCTCTTCCATGGCGCGGCGCGCGGCGCGTGCAGCTTCGGCGGCTCGTTCGACGTCGATGTCGATCATGGTGTCGTGAGCCGGAAACGGTCCTGAGAATGTTTCGAATCGCGTCAGGGACAAACCGTCGTCACCCACGATGACCATCGAACCACCTCGCGAACCACCGAACGCCGAGGCATTTGAGACGAGCGACGACGGACCAAACGCACTCTCCTGGAGTCGTAGCGACGGTAGATTAAACGCCAGGATGCGACCCGTCGTCGTCAGCGCGACTACAAACGGGCACTTTGTGCGTCCGTGCCCGAAAGCGTGCGCGAATTCGTCTTGATCGTCGTCATCGCGCACGACGAACGCGCCGTTGAGTGGCTCTTCATCGAGGCGAACTTTGCGCAGAGCGCTTCTCTCGCCGCGAGAGCATCCTACCGCGTGGTACGCTCGCATCGCGTCTTTCGCGACGGTCACGACGATCATCGTCATACTTGGTGTCACGATCGGTTGAGCGCCGTCGGCTTCTTCGTCCGTCGAAGGAACAATATCCTCGTCGTCGTCGTCCACTGAAAATTCAGCGGCAAGGAAGGAGTACGTAAAGTTTCGCGGTGGAGCGAACCAAGTCTTTGCTCCCGGTCGAACGGCACCGGGTGGAACGACATCGGACGGAGTGCCATCAATCTGAAGCAATGAAATTGCGAGCGCCTCGGATGGATTCTTCGGATGCATCGTTTTCCCGATTCGCGATCCATTCGAGAGGGCGTGAAAGCGAACACTCGAAGCCGCGTCGAGGACGACCAAAACGTTCTCCTCGGGAACATCCGGGAGAGGGAGCCCGAAGTCGAAGTCTACAACCACGGTCGGAGCAGCGCGTGCGTCTTCTTCGACGCTGGGCTCCGTCCAGACCACTGATCCTCGCTGGATGTTAAGCAAAGAGACGCCGCCAGCCGAGTCGCCGATCGCCAGGAGCGTCGCCGAGGCGTTCGTCCGAACGCACGATATAGACTTACCCGCGTGCGTCGGCGATTTGTACACACCGATGAGCGTGTATACAGATGTTACGCACGCGGCAGTTGAATCTATATCCGCAAAGTCTCGAGCGCTCTCCGCGAGAAACTCGCGCTCGTCTGCTTCACTCTCCATTTCGCTCCTGCCCAAATCTCTCACGTACGTTCGCTCTCTCACGCGCGCATCATTATCGCTCGAGGGGAACTGACGAAGAGCATAGATCTCGACAGAACCACTTTTACGGCCAATCACGAGCAGCGCGCCGCCAGCGTCGAGATACAACCGACTCGCAGGATCGTCGCTGATCGAAATGCGTCCGCCAGAGACGAGACGCCCGCCCCGATCGAGGTACACGCAAACGCCCGAACCGTCCCGTCCGTACGCGCCGACGACGATTCGACCTCTAGGTGCGTTCGCGACGTCGCCGTTTTGACCACCGTTGATCGGCCACTTAGACCCCGTCCATCCGTACGACGCGTCGATGTCATTATTCTCCACGAGCAACCCGCCTCTCAACGCGTTCGCCATGAACGCCTGCTCGATGTCTCTCGCGGCAACGCACACGGCTGGCCCGCACGCCGTCGACAACGTTGGTCTGCAAACATTTACTTCGCGCGGGCGGGCGAGGTCACCGTTGGCGACACCGTACCGGACGTCGTGAACGTGCAGTTGCGAACCTTCGCTCAAGACACACACGGATTCAATGACGCCACGAAAAGGTATCGGCGCCGCGTCCAAGACAGGACCAAACCACGGCAAAGCGACCGCTCCGACGTTTTCGATCCTGAAATCACCCCCAGCACGCGTCGCTCTGAGACAAATCACAGGGTCAGGGCAGGCTTCGCCTTCACCGCCGACGCACAAAACCCAGGTTCCCACGTCGCGATTTACATCGTCTTCGTCGCCGACAAACGTCCTCAAAGCTCTGATTGGCATCAAAGCGCCCTTGTACGCCGCATCGACCGTGGAGTGAGGACGAATGCGCTGCATCACCACGATTTCATCCGATCGGATTCGCCAAACGCGCACGACACCGTCGGAGTGTCCCGTGATGATGAAATTTTCATCAAGCCATTCGGCGCACGTCAGCGCGGAATCGTCCGAGTCATCCGCCGCGGCGGTCCTCGCGGTCGACCTCTTCTCGTGCAGGTGCCACAACGCCATCGAACGGTCGCTCCATGCGATCAAAACCCGCGCGCACTCATCCCTCCCCGGTCGCATTCTCACCGCAACGACCGGAGCGCTCGCGGAGTCGTCTGCGTCAATCCCGCGAGCGCTCGAAGCGCTCACTTTGTACCCGCGCCTCTGCGCCACCGTCGTACGCCCGCTCCCGTCCACCCCCACGGCGTGCACGAGCATCGAGCCGTCGCCCATACCCGTCAAGTAAAAGTTCGTTCCTCGAATCGCCTCGCTCGCGCAGCTCGGCGCGACGCCGTCGCTCGAGCGAAGCGTCCCGCTCGCCAGCTCTCTCGCCTCTCGCGCGTCCCACACCGTCATCGATCCATCGTCGCCGCATCGATAAAACCGCGTCGCCCCTTGCACGTACGACGCCCGCACGCACTCCCCCATCGATCGTCCGCTCGTCGTCGCGCACGTCGCCTCGAATCCGTCGCCGCCGAATGTTTTCACGCCGCCTCGCGTCCCGCACGTCAATAATCTTTGTCCGGCGTCGTACGACACCGTCGACGTCGAGGGATCTCGTCCGAAGTGCGAGGTCGCTCGAATCGACGTTCGCGCGCGCGCGCGCGCGTCCACGAGAGCGCTCGCATCGTTCGTCGACCCGTCTTCGTCGTCGGCGCGCGGTGATTGCCCGCGCGCGCGCGACGCGTCTCTTACACGTTTTCCCGCGCACGCGTCCAGGTCCACGCGCGCGTAGTCATCGGTATGACTACTCCCACGCGCGCGTTCCCGGGTCGATCGAGCGATCGAGCGGAGCATCGCGAAGTGCGGGTCGCGCGCGTCCCGGCGCCGAATCGCCGCGCTTCTACAAACTCTACTACTACGGTACACACATCAATCCCTCGGCGCGTCGAACGCGCACGCGCGCGCGTGCGTCGTCGCTTTTCGCCATCGCTCGTCCAGATCTTTCAGCGCGCACGACATCTCGGGCTTTCCTAACTTTCGATTCACCTCGTTGTGTCGCTCGCACGCCCACCGCGAGAGCGCCGCGCGAGACGCGAGCGCGGGCGGGTGCGCGTCGATATCCGCGCGAAAATCGACCCGACACCGCTCGCACGGATACAAATCTCCCAGCGCATCGAAGAATCGTCGCGCCTGGATCTTTTGCGTCGCCGTCGGCGCGTCCTGCGTCGCCGTCGAGCCGTCGTCAGTCCATCCATTCATTCGCCATTCGCGTCTCGCCCGCGCCCGCGTCCGAGCGTCCGAGCGCGCCCGTCGACGACGGTCGCATCGACGTCCGCGCCCATGATCGCCGCGCACCGGATACCGCGCCGCGACGGCGTGCACGAGCGTCCACGTCGCCCGTCCTAATTCATCCACGTCCGGTGGACACGACGCCGTGTGCGCCGCGCCGAGCGCGCGTCGCATCGACGCGAACATCTCCCCGCGGCGCCCGCACGCGGGGTCATCGCACGCGGCGTCCGCGGGGTCCGGCATCGCGCGCGTCGCGAGAAGACGGAATCTTCTTCTTCGGGGGCGAATGAAACCCGCAGACGACGCCGCGCGCGATGTCCAAGCGCGCGAGAGACGATGATTCGGACTCGGACGTCGTGGACGTCGGGTACGTCGGCCGTGGGCGCGGGACGTCGATCGAGGGGCGGGTGAACGCGTACGCGGAACACGCGCGGGCGTTGAATGTGCAATTCTTGAAACACGTCGAACGAAAGATCGCGCAGGAACCGACGGCGTTGTTGCTCAGCGCCGTGCGTGATTACGCGAGGTACGCGCGAGAGATACGAGATGAGTTTCAGGACGTGCTCGCGCGCGAGGGAGCGATGGAGGCGAGGGCGGAGACGGTGAGAGAACGCGCGAGCGGGACGGTTTTCGCGTGGGGGAACGGCGATAGCGGACAGCTGGGAATGGGCGGAGACGTGGACGAGAAGCGACGACCGGCGAGCGTGGAGTACGGTGTGATGGAAAACGTGAAAGTGCTCTCGGTCGCGTGCGGAGGGACGCACACGATCGCGCTGACGAGCGGTGGGACGTGCTTTAGCTGGGGTAACAACGACGGCGGAGCGCTGGGACGGAGAGTGGACAAGGATAAGAATCCCGAGGCGGAATACGAACCGGGTAAGGTGGAACTTCCGCTGGACGTGAAAGTGCTCGCCATCTCCACCGGGGACTCCCACGGGCTCGCGCTCGCGGAGAACGGGAGCGTGTACGCCTGGGGGGCGTTTCGCACGGCGAACGGCGAGTGGGCCTTCAATCCGAAGACGCTCGACGCGAAGAAGACGATGTTTCCGTTCCAGATTTACACGCCCAAGACGCAAAAGGAGCGCGTGAAGGCCATCGCGAGCGGCGTCGATCACGCGCTCGCTCTCACGCAAGAGGGTGGAGTGTACTCCTGGGGTAGCTCAGAGAAGGGTCGATTGGGACGATTCGCAGAGAGCGAAGCCGAGAACAATGAAGAGGCGGGCGACGAGCTCAAACGTCGACTCCTCACCCCAGGGCGAGTGTCATTTCCGACGAGCGGCGGCGCCGCCATCGGGTCCGCGTTCGGGGGCGAACCGGTGATGACGGCCATCGTCGCCGGCGATTTCCACTCCTTCGCGATTTCCGCAAACGAAGACGGCTCGAAGAGCACCGTCTACGGATGGGGTCTGTCCAACTGCAACCAGCTCGGAATTTTCGACACCAACCCCGATCTGCGCGGTGATCAGCAAGTGACGTATTTCCCGAAACGCGTCGACTGCCTGAGTGGAAGGCGCATCGTCTCCGGCGACGCCGGGACGCATCACTCTATATTCTTAACGGGCGACGGCAAGGTCATCTCCGTCGGTCGCTGGACGGACGGCCGATGCGGCGTGCGAGTCGCCAATGCTGCCGTCGACGGTCAATTAGATGAGCCCAGGGAGATCGAGGACCTGCCCGGTAGGGTGGTGAAGATCACGTGCGGAGGTACCAACGGCGGGGCCATCCTCGAAGACGGCCACGCGTACGTATGGGGTTCGCAGTACATGGGACAACTCGGTCTCGGCCCTCGCGAAGAAGACGCGCACTTGCCAGAAAAGTTGCAGTACACCAAACCCATGGCTGGCAAGGTGTTCTCAGAGATCGGTTTCGGCGGCCAGCACGCGGCGGCTGTTTTGGTCGACGAGACGGAGGCGGGCCGCGGGAGCAAGCGCGCTCGCGCTTAGGATTTGTCATCTAAAAATACTATTGATACCGTACAAGCGCCCCATCATCTATCTAAAGAAGATCACGTACACATTGCTAGTCGCCACGAAGAGCGCGATCAGGCAAAGAGTCGTCGCGGTGACGATCGCTCCCACCCCGGGCGAGTTCAAACGGGAGATGCCGACGACGTCCTCTTCGATGTCGCCCGCATCTTCGCCAAAGTCACGCTCCAATAAGTCCCGCGCGGAGCTCAAGAGCTCGCGCGTGACGTCATCCAAGCCCGCCAAATCTTCCAGCGGATCCAACGTATCACGATTCTCCGCTCGCATCTCGGGATGAACCAGCAACAAGGCTGGGATGACGAACATGACGAGCGAACCGCACGTGGCGCCGACGAGCTCAAAAACCTTGCCCAGATCTGTCACCGCGAACGACACGACGGCGGCGATGAGCACGAACCCAAGGGTTTGCGACACATGTCGCGTGGCCGGAGATTGGCCAGGCGCGCACTCTTCCCAGCCAAAGGCTGAGGCGAGCAAGTCGTCCAACGCCGCACGCGCAGCGTGATGATTCACCGGGAAAGACGATACGGCGCTGCAACCCATCAAAATCGTCGCAAGCAGCATGGCTTTGTCGTTCTTATCGTAGCTATCGAGTACGTTAGACGTCACGTCGGGGTGTGAGATATACGCGAACTCGCCAACCGAGATGTATCCGACGAAACACACGCCAACTGCGAGCGCGATGACGACCCGCATTCGCTTCATTCGTCGTCTCTCCGACGCGCTCGAATCATGCAGTTCGATAATTTCTCCCGATTGCGCAGTCTCGCTCGAGCCAAGTTCCGAGAAAATTGCCAGAACTTGAATGTGACACTGGAACGCGAAAACGACGATGGGCACGGCCGAGATTGATCCGATGTCGAGTTTGAATGCCGTCGCGAGCGCCGTGGAGTCCGCCGCCGGCGTCAAGCCCTTGCACATGATCACCGTCGCGGTGTACCCGAGCGCCATGACCGCCATCGCACTCGCCAGTGCCAAGCGACTCATTTCGCGCAGCAAGCTCAGCGGTGTCACCACGAAGGCGCCAATTATGGCTATGGCGAAGCGTCTATTCGCCCACCACGCGGAGGCGGCGTCTCCCGCGAAGGCGCTCACGACCTTCGTGTACGAATCGCCGATGATGATCAGGTACGCCACGCACGAACCGAAGAGGTACACTATCAACACCACGCTCACCGCTCTCGAGACGTTGAGTCCGAACGCGTCTTTTACCAAACCTTGGTACGACGTCGACCCAAACGCCGATCCGGCGCGCACGAGCACCAAGAGCGTGTACGCCACCAGCATCGCGGCGACGAGGACGACGATCCCACCCAGCGCGTACCCGAGTTCTCGAATCGCAAATGGAATCGCCAGCACACCCGCACCGATCGCGCAGTTCGCCAGCGTCGCCGTCGATCCGACCACCGTCCCGTGCCTCTTGACGGTTCCGTCCGCGTCGCCGACGAGCGCGCTGCGACTTAAAGCCTCCATCGCGCTCGACGTCATGTCCATCACCTCGTGTAAGACGTCATGGGTGCCATGATGTGCGTGTTCGTCGTCCTCGAGCGTCTCGAGCGTCATCGTCGTCGCACAAGTCCGAGCCTTTAGAGATCTTTCCAATCGAGCCGAGTGCTCGTCTCACGCTTTTCCACCGCCGAGGACGCGCTCGCGTCCGTTCTCTCGTCGTAAACGCTCGCCTCTGACGCTCTGTGCCAGTGTCAAGGCAACGAGCGTACCGGAGGCGCAGAAACCTAAGATCCAAAGCGTCGTACGATCGCTCAGCGGGCGCATAGAGTGCCCAGGCTGGGACTGAGGCCGCGCGCGGGCGTTCAAACGAGCGTACGACGACGGGACGGGTTGATGACGTCTGGAAGGACATCGACGAACGCGCGATGCGACGAACGGGAATATGGATCGAATTCGAGAAAAATATTCGCTCTCTCTAATCACTGCAAAATGGCTACTGATGGTTCTCATCGCAAGAGCGTCGACGCGAGGTTCCGAATCTCAACCGGGTTGCCGCCAGTCAACGCCTTCATCGCCTGCACGGTTCTTTCGTCGATAACGGCGCTCACGATACCAACGCGCTTGAACTCACGAAGAAGATCGGTAATTTCTTCCGTGGAAAACCTGGGCGTGTCCACCGCAATGGTCACGTTGGATTCATGCGGACGAGACGCCGCGGTGTTCGCCTTGGACACGCCAACGGATTCGCACGCCGCGGTGACGGCCACGTGCTTGGCATCATCTCCCAAGGCCGAGTCAACGACGTCAATCACCGCTCGCGCCATGCGTAGACTCTTCGCGGGAATATTCTTTCGCGATCTCGGACCGGTGACCTCGTGCATGTCCGACGGGCCGAACAACGCATTGTACTGATCGACGACGAACATAACTTTGTGATCACCGCGCTTGGCGAGAGTTCGCAATTCGTCCAAAACCGTTATCGCACAGTCCACAGCGATCTCCGGATCGTTCGAGCCCGCTATGGCGTAGTCGAACAAATTCATGTCCTTTGCTTTCACCTCGTCCGCCGGCGCACTTTGTCCTTTGCCCTTCTTCTGCACCGAGTTGTCCTTCACGATGACCCCTTGCACGGTGATCGACTTGAGCGCCTCTTCGTTCGCTACGTTCGCAATGTGCTTCAGCACTCGCATCGCACAATCCGGCGTCTCCCACAAACCCTCGCATCCTTCCTTCGCGCTCTTGCTAAAGTAGCTAAACCTCGTAAGCTCCAAACCGTCCGGCACGTACGCGACAATCCATCCATCGGCGCGCGCGCGCATGACTAAGCGCGCCAATGCGACGCTCTTACCGGAACCTCTTGATCCTCGAACATCGACGCGTCGATGCGAATCGATCGCCGCTCGTAGAGTCTCGTCACTTGCGCGCGACAACAGACGCCGAGTCGTCGCCGCCGCCGCGCTCGCGCTTCGTTTCTTCCCGTCTCCGCCCTCACCGCTCGCGCTCACGAAATCAAAAGCCGTCACAAGTGCCTTCACCGACGCCGATTCCGGGAGCGTTGATGACAAAGCGTCGTCCGCGAGGTCCACGACGCGTCCGCTCGTCTGGTCGTCGGAGGTCTCGCTCGTCGACGTCGAGAACGAACGACCGTGCGCGCGTCCTCTCCCGGAGACGCGCCCATCGCTCGGGCGCGCGTCGCTCCTCATAAAAGCGCTCTCGAGCGTCTCCGATCGATCGACGCGACGTCGCTGTTCATCCGAGAGCGAAGAACGATGGACGATCGAAGAGGTGACGCGAGAGAATCCTCGAACGGAAGTCACGCTCGTTTCGACCGCGTCGACGACGAGGCGGCGGCATCGATCCCTCGAGGCGCGGAATAGGGCGGACATCGTCCACCTGAGGCGTCTCAAAAGCTCGCTCGACGAGTGAACGAGCGCGAGACGAGCGCGACGCTGTGGCGGATGTGCGCTCTGGGAACAACCCTGAAAAATGTAAGTCCCTTTGGCGGGCGGGCCAGAGATGTGGGGCTACGGCGTTTGTTGAAGGATCGACGGCACCGTTGGATTGAATCGGGTGTGTTGGTATTACAAAGCTTTCTCTTCGCCCGGGTACGCCTCGACGAAGCCGTCGAGCGTGCCCTGAATCGTAGCACGCACCTCGGGCGACATGCGGTCGTGGTAGAGGACTCCGTCGAGATGGTCGTACTCGTGCTGGAAGACGCGTGCTTCGAACCCCTCGAGGGTCATCTTGAATTTTTTACCCTTGAGATTCTGCGCCTCGATCTGTACCCCCAACGGACGCTGTGCGATCGCGAGAAAAACGCGGAGAAGTCAGTCGACGGATTCGATCGTCCCCTGGACTAAAAGTCTGAAAAATATCATGCATGCCTCGCGTAAGTTGCTCACGTTTCTCCGCACGACCCCGAGGGGTATCGGATTAGCGTATATTTATGTTTTAGTCGCTCATCGGCACGTCGCGTCGTTTGATTCGCTCACGCGGAAACGCGTACCTCAACATCGGCGTACATCTTTGGAAAGCTCAGGCATCCTTCCTCAAAGAAATCCTTCTCCTTGGAGTACTTCACAATCTTCGGATTGCACAGCACCACCTCTCTTCCCTTTCCCGGCTCTCCCGCCTCATTGTACACCATCATTCGATAGTTCACACCGACCTGCGGCGCCGCTAAGCCGCACCCCACCGTCTCGTACATAATCTTGAACATCGCCTTGCTCAATTGCTCGAGGTTCGCGTCGAAAGTCTCGATCGGCGCGTTCTTCGCTCGCAAACACGGCGCCGGGTACTTCGCGATGGCGAGCGGTTCGCTCCACGCCACGCTCTCGCTCGACGACGCCCCACCGCTCTCACCGCGCTTCATGTCCTCGAGCTCACCGAAAAGAAATCCCTTCTTCGCCTCCGTTCGCGTCGCTCGCGCGCTCGCGCGTCGCCCGTGCGCGCCGAACGATCGCGCTCGATGGACCCGCGGCGCCCCTCGCGCGCAGACGCATCGAAGCGCGCGCATCATCCGCGTCGCGCGCTGTGGGGCGCGTCGCGCGCGCGGACGCGTCCAGAGGGGGGGTCTTTCACCGGTCGTGACTCGCCAACGTCCACACACGGTGTCCAAAACACCCGAAACATCGAGCACCGACCGAGACCGCCGCGCGATGGCCCTCGCGTCAGTGTCACGCTCGACGACGTCACGATGTTCTCGCTCGTCGCCAACGCCTCCGCGGCGGTGCACGCCAAGGTACGATTTATACCGCGCGCGATGACGCGTCGTCGCCCGCGAGACGCGCGTCGATCGTCGAGGGCGACGAGACGGGGTGGCGCATCCGCGATGGGGTTTCGGACGACGCGGACGACCTCGCGCGGCGTCGCGCGCGACGCGTCGGGCGTTCGACGCGACGCGGCGCGAGGACGCGATGGGGTGTAAATATGCGGATCGCGTCGCGTTCGAGTCACCGGACGCGATCGCGTCGTCGCGGGGTGCACGAACGTCGTCGATGCCCCATCGAGAAGTCGCCCTACGTCATAGGGATAGAGGAGTCGTGAACGGCGCAAACCGAACGTGGACTGACGTGAACGCGCTCGATTTTACGACACGATAGCGCACGCAATTTTCCGGCGCGTCCGTGAAGACGCAGCGCCCGGCGGCCATGGTACGTCGACGCGCACGACCTTCCGAGCGACGCTTCGCGTGGGGTGTGGGTTTAGAATAGGGTTTTAGAAGACGCGAACGCGAGGCCTCGCGCCGACGTACGTCGATGACGAGAGAACGAAAGTACTGACTGTGAACGCGCGTTTTATTTTACGAACAGCCGGTCGCGCAACGCCGTGGTGATTTGTGCGTTCGCGCCGCCCGTGTCGCCGGGGTCGAGATCCCGAACAACAAGCGCACCGAAACCGCGCTCACGTACGTGTACGGCATCGGTCCGACGTCCGCCAAGGCAATCATGACGGCCACTAAGTTGGAGAACAAGCGCGTGCGCGAACTTTCCGAGGAGGAACTCACCGTCTTGCGTGAGGAGGTGGAGAAGTACCAGATTGAGGGTGAACTCAGACGCTTCATCACGATGAACATCAAGCGATTGAAGGAGATTCAGTGCCACCGGGGCAAGTTGCACATTCGCAACTTGCCGGTCCGCGGTCAGCGTACGAAGACCAACGCCCGCACGCGCAAGGGTAAGGTAAAGACGGTGGCGGGTAAGAAGAAGTAAATGAATCTTCAACGGCAGCATGTGTGTGAGGGGAGACGTATTAAATAGAGACAACAACCTGTATAACGGGAGCGTTTTAGTTGCGCGTGGACAGTAGTTTAACATTTTAAACGAAACCGACGGCATTCTTTTTATCTTCACGTGACTAGTCCCCGTCTACTTCTGCGAACACCCGCCTTGGGCGTCCAATCGACATCGTTGGCACGACCAAGAAGCTCGGTTTGCAGCTTCCGCCGATGCGCCGACGAGCGCTCGAGGCGCTCTCCTGCGTCGCTCAGATCAATTTCCAGTTGTTTGATTCGCTGCACGTCTTCTGGCCGCGACTCTCTGGTTTCATACATCGCTCGCCATTTTGATATCTCGGCGTTCGCCGCGGAGAGCGCTTCGTTCGCGACACGAGAAGCCGTCTCGTTCACATCTTGCATGCGAGCGATGACATCCTTGTGCTCTTTTCGGAGAGTCTCAATGTCGCTCTCGTGGGCATACACGGAGGCCGTGGCGGCGTCTCTGAAACGCTCATTCTCAGCTACTCGTTCGGCTTCGGAAACTCCAAGCTCTTGTCGGGCGCGATGCAGCTGACTTCTCAGGCTCTCACGCTCAAGTTCGAGAGTGGCGCTCACTGCGATGCACGATTCCAGTTTTGCCGCGTACTCGCGCTCTAGTTGCTCTAACTCCTTCGAGTACTGCTCGCTCACCCGTTTAAGTTCTCGCACACGTATGTTCTCCGATTTCACCGCAGCATCGCCCTCGCGCGCTTCGTAATGTGTCTTGATCTCTTCAGTCGCGAGTCGCACCGCCTCCGACATGGATTGCTTCAAGTGAATTTCATGCTCGCTCTGCATGAGCGCAATACGCTCGGCGTGCGAGCTCGAAAGGCGTTCGATTTCGCTCACATGTGCCGCACTCATCACTTGCAAACGTTCATTGCATTCAGCGCGAACATCACCAAGTTCGCTCTCGTATTTCATGGATACAGTCTTAGCGCCCTCGGCGTGCTCGCGATTGAGCGCTTCAATCTCTTCGCGTAACTCTCTTTCGTTGGCGTGATAGGCCTCGGAAACGTTCGCAACCGCTCTGGCGATTTCTCCTTTTGATTTCGAGTCCATCTCCTTTGCTAAGCGATCCATTGCGCTCTCGTGCGCGCGCTGTGACTCTTCCAGCGCAACAGCGACGTTCTCCCTCGTCTTTTGCTCCCAAAGAGCACCGAGGCGCTGAAAATCCGCTCTCGACCTCTTCTCCGCACCAAGACGTTCGGATTCATGTGAAATCTCCTGATCACTCAACTGTTGCTCTAATCGGTGAGCCATTCCCTCCACCGCATGAAGCGCGAGTTTGGATTCACGGAGATCGTTGACGAGGGCCGCTTCCTTCGCCTCGAAATCAGACTTTGCACGCTCGATGTCTGCGACGAGCTTTCGCTCACGGGCAGCGTACGCCTCAAGAGTACTCGTCACTTCCTTTGAGCGTAAATGTGAGCACTCAAGCTCGCTTTCCAAGCGACGTTTATCGTCCTCCCAGCGCTGTTTCTCCTGAAGCCACCCATATTCTACCGACTCGAGCGCATGCGCTTGATCGTCCTCGGCCGCTTTCACGCGCTCATTGAATTCCGACTTTGCGTGCGTGAGTACGGCTGAATGCTCGACCTCCGTAGCCTTTATCCGTGACTCATACGACGCGATCAACTCTTGTGCCTCGATTTCCGCCTTTCGATTCCTCTCCTCGAATTCGCTCAAGAGGCGCTCAAACTTTTCCTCTCCGTCCCTTGCAGCGCATTCGGCTTCAGATTGACACCGGATAGCTTCGTCTCGAATGTTTTGAATCGTCTGGTCCAGTTTCCGTACGTTAGCGGCGTGTTGGTCCTCCATCATACATTTTGTAACCTTCTCGGTGTCGATGGTTTCCTGTAAGCGCACGCGCTCCTCCATGCTTGAAGCGTACGCGTGTTGCGCTTCGCTCAATTTCTGCGAAAGCTCCGCCTCGACGTCCACAAGTCTATTTATTTCCACCGACGTACTCAACACGAGAGCTTCTTTCTCGCTGAGAGTCGCCTGTAACTCCAGGATGACTTTTTCTCGAGCACTGGCGCCCTCGAATGCTTCGTCGAGCGATCGACGACATGCTTCGTGTGCCCTTCGAACGCATTCCAGTTCCGATTCCGTCTCGGCGAGAGATTTTTCTATGAACATGTAAGAGCACCTCTCACGCTCGGACTTCTCTCGAGCGACCGCACGCTCTCGAGCGATGTCATCTTTACACTGTGCTTTGAATCGTTCAAGCTCCTCTTCCTTCGCTAACGCCCGCTCCTCGGCGCGCTCTACGATCGCTCGAGCGTCGTCGTTGACTTTCGCGATTGCCGTCTCACTTTCCTTGCGCGCGCCCTCCAACTCTCGGGCGAATTCGTCTTTCAAGCGCGCGCGTTCCGCTCTTTCAAACCTCAATTCATCCTTCAAGCTCTCCTCCGTGGCGCGCGCATCGGCGACGATGCGTCTCCGTGCCTCCGTCTCCGCGCGCAGCGCTTCTTCCCTCGCCCGCTCCGTCGCCTCGCGCTCGCGCTCGCACGCCGCCTTCATGTTCGCCAATTTCTCCCGGACCGCCGTCTCACGACTCATTTCCCGCGCCTCAAATTCTCTTTGCGTCGCTGAAGTCTTCTCTCGCGCCTCGCCCACGGCCTCGCGCGAGACCTCGCTCACGCACCGCGCCTTGGCGTCCGCCATCGCCGCGCGCGCCAAACCGGCGCGCGTCTCGTCCTCGGCGAGCTCACGATTCGCCAGCTCGCGATATATCGCGTTGGACGCCTCGTGTCGGAACAACGCGTGGTCTCGCGCGAACGCCGCGATCGCGCGCGACTTATCTCGCTCGTGATCCTCGCACGCGGCGTGCAATCGGCACACCACTCGAGTCAATCGCGCAATCTTCTCGCTCTCGCGTCCATCGACGATGCCGCCGTCATCTCTCGTCATCGCGTGCGTCCCCGTGGGCGCCGCGATCGTCGACGCGACCGACGCGCGCGCGTTCGAGCGTCGCGTCGTCGTCACCGTCGCGCGCGTCATCCGCACCGTCGTCGTCTTCCGCGCCGGCGCCGCGTTCGAGTCAACCTTTGAAAGTGACGGTTGGGGATGCGAACCGTTTTTTTTTTTGCCTCGTCTCAACCTCGCGCGCGTCGAGCGCGCGCGCGATGACGACGCGCGCGACGACGGCGCGCGACGACGGGCGCGGAGATTTCGAACGGCGCGCGCGCGAGGACGGAGACGCGCGCGAAGGAATCGACATGGCGGCGTCGACGGCGGAGACGAGAGATTCACCGAGAACGCGCCTTTTGGAGTCTGGGTACGCGTCGGACGACGATGTGGACGGCGGGCGGGATGCGCGTGAGGCGAGAGAGGAGCGAGGTGGGGCGGTGTCGAGGCGTAAAACGTTCGCGGCGAGAACGCATTCGCTCTATCTCGGGCTCGAGCTCGAGCGCGCGGACGAAGAAGAGGAGTGCGAGTCGTTAGATTTTCACGACGTCGACTCACACTGGGCGAGACGATCGCGCGGACGCTTCCCACGCGGTTGGGCGAAGTGGATCGTCGCAGCCGTGATCGGGGTGATCGTCGGTCTCATCGCTTTCGCGATCGACGTCGCGGTTTCGGCTCTCTTCCGCGGTCGTCGAGCGTTGTTTGAGTTGTGTCGCGACCGAGTACATCTGGCACTCGCCGTGTTCGCGCACATCGCCCTGGGCGTGGTAACCGCGGCGTTCGCCGGACTGCTCACGGTTTACATGTCACCGAGTGCAAAAGGTTCGGGTGTACACTACGTGATGGCCGTTTTGAACGGTGTGCACGTGCCCAAAGCATTCGACGGCTTGACGCTGGTGGTGAAATCGATCGGAACGATTTTCGCCGTTGGATCAGGTCTGATGATTGGCCCAGAAGGACCGCTCGTTCACATTGGTGCGGCGATTGCGATGCAATTCACACACGGTGGTTCATTTGGAATGGCTGAGCTTTTTCGCTCCGACGAAGACAGGAGCGATTTCATATCAGCGGGCGTCTCCGCCGGACTCGGGGCGGCGTTCGGAGCACCGATCGGCGGAGTTTTGTTCTCGCTCGAAGAAGCGTCTTCGTTTTGGCGTGAATCAACGACACAGCGGGCCCTGTTCTCGTCCACCATCGCAACTTTTGTCTTGAGCGTGTGTCGAGCCGTTATGAGTGGCTCCGCTGTGAAAGAACACACCGCCATGAAGCAACCCGGCTTGATTGCACTCGGAGAGTTTGACGCGACCTACTACCTGGTTGAAATGCCGTTTTTTGGAGCGCTCGCGGGCGTGTGTGGAGTGATCTCGGGTCTCATTACGAAACTGATCGTCGTTCTATCGGAATTCGCGCCGATTCGGAATTCGCATCGATTCGCACAAGTTGTCGTCGTCACCGCGGCTACGCTCGGGGCATTTTACCTCGCCGCCGCCGCTGGGTCGTGCGTGAAGACATCTCCTGATGAGACGACGAAATGGAGCGAAGCATCGATTCGTCTGTGGTGCAAACCGGGTGAGTACGCCGACGTGGGATCGATTTTGCTCGCGAACAAGCAAGACGTCATCTCTTGGGTGCTCGGCGCCCCCGCCAACGCTCACGCAGCTCACGCTCTTCTCGTTGCGTTCTTCGTCACGCTGTTTGGCATGGTGAGCGCGGCGAATCTCTTTGTCCCGGCAGGTTTGTTCATGCCAACGATTCTCTGGGGTGGTTTACTCGGTAGATTCACCGCGATTCTAGTCGAGCGTTCTCTCTCGCCGCTTGGCGGAGAAATAAAGTGCAACCACCACGCGTACGCTCTCGTCGGTTCGGCGGCCGCGCTCGCTGGGACGTTCAGAGCAACCGTATCGGTTGTCATCATCTTGTTGGAAGGAGTCGGGAAAAGCGCTTTTCTGTTTCCACTGCTCACCGCGGTCGCGTGTTCAAACTTCACTCGAAGGATGTTCGGAGCGAGCCTGTACGTGGAGCAACTCCGTCAAGCAAAAATCCCATTCTTGCACACGAAACCGCCAAAATCGCTCGACGACACGCTTTGTGCTTCGGATATATGCTCACGAGACATCGTGTACTTTCGCACGATTGAAAAAGTTGGCGTCATCGAGGACGCGCTCGCGAACACGAGGCACAACGGTTTTCCCGTATGCAGCTCAAAGTCAAAGCGAGTCCTTGGCGTCGTGCTTCGCAAGCAGCTGCTCGTGCTCCTGTCCAGACGCGCCTTCGTGGAGAATCTCGTTCACGCACCTCGAGCAGAGGACGGTTTGGCCGATGAATCCGTTCTCGGAGGTCGAACGCCCGACGACGTCGTCAGCCTACGAGTCGCCGAGTATTGCAAGGAACTGAGTCGCGTCATGCGACGATATCACAACCGCGGCACCGACGACGATCGTCACGGTCGTCGAGCGACCTCATCCATCATCGCCATGCTCGGTCTCACCGACGTCGAACGCGAGCGCAGATGCGATTTGGGCGTCTTCATGCAGCTCGCTCCGCCCACGACGCGCGCCGACGCGAGCGCCCGCGCGGCGTGGGAAACCTTCACTCGACTCTCGCTCCGTCACCTCCCCGTCGTCGCCGACGACGACCGCGGCGCCGTGATCGGCGTGATTACCAGAATCGATCTCATCGTCGCCGCCGCCCGTCGTCCATCGACGCACGACGGCGACGGCGACGACGACGACGACGACGACGGCGTCTGACGCCGGCGATTGTACACATCTTCCCCAATGACGAGTCCGCACTCCTCGAACGATCCCCTCGCGATCCCCACACCGCGCCATGGCGTCCTTCTCCAAGCGTTGGCTTCGACCGGAGGTCCGTCTCGCGCGATCTCGCCGTGCGCCGCCGTCGCGCGCGTCCTCGATCGCCCCCGTCCTCGATCGCGCGCGTTGGACGCGCGCGACGTCGCACGCGCGCGCGCGAAGGGCGCGATCGCGACCTCGACCACGATCGTTCGTTCGCTGACCCTGGTCGTCTGTTCGCCGACGCAGGTGTACCCGATCTTCGTCGCGATCGGCGGTGCGGTGAGTCTGTGCGGATTCTTCTGCGCGCGACAGTTGTTGACGAGCCCGGGATTCACCGCGGCGAAGTCCAAGCGCGCGGCGGGCCTGAACGAGGGCGACGCGTGGGTCAAGGAGGGGACGAATTGGCGCGAACACCGCGTCCGACGCGCGCTTCGATCGATGTACGGTGGGAACCCGCAAATTTTCACGGGCATGAACGCCACGTACGGCGGTGGGCAACACTGAGACGACGCGACGGAGAGACGAGAGAGACGAGGGAGACGGAGGACGCGCCCGCGGACGTCTCGTCTCGCCCGCGACGGCGCCGTTCGCGGAGCGATCGAACGCGTTCGTAGCGCGTGTACAATAAGATACCGACAGATAAACGTGGATCGGACGTCGCGTTCGCGATCGCGCGCGCGCGTGCGTCGGGACGATCGTGCGGGGGCGTCGTCTCGCCTCGACGCGCGCGACGGCACACGCCGACGCGTCGACGACGCGCATGCGTCTCGTTCGCGCTTTCGAGCGCACCGCGAGCGCGAGCGCGCGGGTCGAGGCGAGGCGAGATCGAGGCCGTCGCGCGTCGTCGCGCGACGCGTCCACCGCGCGCGCGGTCTCGACGGAAGTTGTGAAAGTCGAAAACGCGTTCGTTGACGCGCTCCTCGACGTGCCCGGCGCGAACGAGCGCGTGGTGTGCGCGACGCGCGCGGACGGTGTGCGTGGGTTATTCGCGAAGACGTCCATGTCGCGAAACGACCCCGTGCTCGAGATACCGCTCGCGGAGTTTGGCATCTTGGACGACCCGTCCGAGCGGACGACGTGGTCGAGGCAGTTAGGTCGCGCGCTCGTCGACGTCCACAGGCGCTCGCGAGCGAGTGATCCCGGGCTCACGGAGACTATGAGAACGTACGCGATGACGCTACCGAAATTCGGCGGCGAAGCGATCGGATTAGCGAACAACCCCGACGTCGCGTCCGCGCTCGCGGACGCGTGGGACTGTCGAGAGGCGGTGTCGGACATGCAGACTTTCGGAGAGCAGATCAGCAATTCGTACGAGCAGGAGCTCGCGCTCGACCCGACGTTGCGGGAAGATGAGTGGAGGTGGGCTCTTTCGATGGTGCACTCTCGAACGTTTCGCATCGAGGATGAATACGGGCGACGGGCGACGCGCAGAGCTCTCATAGCCGCCGCCGATTTACTCAATCACTCCAGCGTGCGAGGGGAGGTGAACTGCGATTGGTCGGCGAATGATGATTATTTCGTCGTCACGACGACTCGAGACGTGCGCGCAGGGGAGGAGCTGTGCATTTCGTACGGCGAGCAATGCGATAGACACTTTGCGTTATTCTACGGGTTTCTTCCTTCGCAGAACCCTTTCAATCGCGTCAAACTCTTCTTTAACGGCCGAGAGGCGTTGGATTGGTACCAAGAGTTGTGTGGGGCGGCTTCGGATGCACCCGGGTGGTCAAATGAAAAAGAACGCGTGGTGAAGCTGGTGTGCGACAAATACGGGACGTACAAGATGGACAAAAGCACGGGACTCCGACGCCGAGTAATCCAGGATCTCTATCTGGGAGAAGGTGGCAAGGTGAGTGATGCCATGCTTCTGCTGTTCAATGAGATGTGCGGGGACGAAGAGATGGCCATCGCCGCGATTCGCGAGAGGGCAAGTGAGCTGAGGGCGAACATGTTGAATACGACGGAACGCGTTGAAGCCGCACTTGCGGGCAGCGACGCGTATTCGCAAAGTCTTGTTCGCGAGTATCGACGAAGGAAGATTGATCTGCTCTCGCACATTGTTTAGACTAGGTAGTAATGATACAACTCTACATCACAGATCTATTCGCACGTCGGAAAGAAAGCTCGAATCAACTTATCGCTCGCCGCCGGGCCGACGCTCTTTCCAGCCGTCTGGATGCACTGCAGCGCGCACATGGCGTGGACCTTTCCTCGATCGCATAGTACCTTCACCGAATAGGGCGTTGGATATTGCTCTGCGATGGCCGCAGCCTTTTCCGGACCGAGGCCGTCGATTTGTGCGAGCATGGACATCCAAGTGATCTTCACCGAATCCTCTCGCATCAAAGCCGCTCTGTATTCCTTGTCGTATTGCGCATACGTGCGCGCCGATTTTGTCGCCTTGGCGCGAGTGAGCGGCCCGTACGTCGCGTGCAAGGATAACGTAATGTTCTTCAGTAACCTTTTCGTATCCTCGAAGTGCATGGTGTTGATGACTTTGAATCCATCAAAAATTTCTGTCTGCACGCGAGCGCTCAGCAGGCGCTTTCGCATGTCGTGCGGTCTCGTACCAGGGTTCGTCCCAGCGAACCTACAAACGCCACCTCCCTCGGGGCGGTGATACATTTGACCGACGTTAGACGTCGCTGACAAATCCCCCTCGATGAGATACGCGAGATTCGTTAGACCAGAATAATTCTTCATGCGGTACTTTTGGCGGTCGTAGCGTTTGCCTTTTTCCGCGTTGTGCATGATGCTCGCTTGCAGGTCACCGACATCTTTGCGCTCGATGAGAAAATCGAGTACGTACGCGTTATGAATCCCCGGCTCGCTTCCTTTGGGACACGCGACCCAGGCAAAATCACCAATCTCGAGATTGGACCGGAGCGTCTTGACACCGTGGTTGTGAAAGAACGCGAGCTGTCTCTCTTCCCGAAGCCTCGGCTCTTTGTTGTCGATGACGAGGACGGTATCGTAACGATCGGCGTACGTTTCCCCTTGCTCTAGTGGAGGTAGCGTCCATCCCGTGCGCGAAGGACTGACGAGGTTCGATAGAGGCTTGGCGTTTTGCATGATCGCCGCTGATGGTGGCAACACTGACGCAGCTGCCGAACGTTGCTGCTGCGACGAGACGGGCGTCCACGCCCCGGTATCATCGAGAACTTCGAGCTGGTCGTCTTCGTCCATATTTACCACGCCAACGCCACCGAAATCTCCAGGATCTTTGCTCGCGTGTTCGCCGCGCCATAAGCCACACACGCAGTCCCCGCGCGCCTCCGCCGCGGCGTGTAGCTTCTCCGCGAGCTCAGTTCCCGTCTTACTCAGACGAATTTGCATCGTGTAGGAATTTTTCCACGTGTGCACCATGGGTTCGACGTAACCGTTTTGCTTTGCCTTCAATCGGTTGAATGAATTCCATCCACAGTAACTGAAATACGAACCTCGCCCGCCGCCGTGCGCCGGTCCACCCGGGGGCGCTCTCGGTTTGATCCCCGATGCGCTCAAACCACTTATTTCGGCCTCTTCCTCGAGCTCTCTTTTCGTGAGCACTTCACGACCTTGAAGGGCGAGCTTGTGCATGGTGACGAGCAAAGCGAACGCAGCCGTGCGATAACCGGGCACCCACGTCGTCGTCGCCTTGGCTCTCTTCGGCGCCGGTCCCGCTCGATTCTCATCGTCCGCGCGAGCGTCGACCGATCCAGCTCGTTTACCCGACGTCGACGTCGCGTGCGCCATCCTCGTCGACGACGCGGCGAAACGATCGATGGACGCACCGAAGTTTCTCGCCGCGAGCGTCTCTCCGTACTCCGTCACCGTCGGCGCCGAGCCGAGACGAAAGAAGACGTCTATGACATCACCCATCCTCGGTCCGATCCCCCGCAGCGCTCGCGCGTCATCCGCGTTCCACACTCTCTGTTTCGTCTTCGAGCACGCCTTGGCCGCGTTCCGCAGCGCCTGCGCGTACGCCCCCGACGTCTCGTCTCCGCCTTCGTCCAGCGCCCGCGCGTGCGCCTCCAAAAACATCACCAGCGGCGCGTTCTCTCTGTTCCCGAACCGTTTCCAATACCTCCGCGCCTCGGTCTCGTGCGCGAGCGAGCGCGGGAATCGTTCGCCCTCCACCATGGCGTCGTGCGTCGCGATACCGCGTCGATACGCCTCGCGCACGATCGATCGCGCATCGTCACGCATCGCGTCACCGTCACCACGGTCTCGCGCGTCGCCTCGCGCGACGACGACCGCGTCGAGCGACGACGACCGCGTCGAGCGCGCGCGTCGTCGAGCGCGCGCGTCGTCGCGCGTCGCGGCGTGTCGTCGCGGCGGTCGTCGCGCGATGCGTGGATGCACGAATTTAAAATCGACACACAAATCACATCGCGCGACGACCGCGTCGAACACCGCGACGCGTCGACGACGACTTGGACGACTTGGACGACGACTTGGACGACGCCTTGGACGACGACGCGTCGACGACGACGCGCGCGCGCGGTCATACGAACGGAACGCGCGAAAGGCACGCGCGCGATGGACGACGCGACGACGACGGGCGGACGACGACGCGCGCGCGGACGCGCGCGCGGTGCGGACGCGATCGCGGCGAATCGACGGGCGATCAAGGCGCGGAGCGAGGCGAATCGACGGGCGAGACTCGAGGGCGAGGGCGATTCGCTGGGGCGACGCGCGACGGCGCGGACGTTGACCGAGTACGAACCGTCGCCTCGCGCGAAGAGAGATCTGGAGACGTACGCAGAGTTAGGGGCGAGACGACGCGCATCGATCGACGCCAAGGTTCAGGCGAACGACCCGCGGAGAGGTCTCCCGAGATTGGGCGAGGTGCCAAAGTATCTCGCTCGAAGACGAACGACGCTCCTGCGGGAGATGAACGAGCGCATGGAACGGGCGTTGGAGGACATCGAGCGCAGGAGAGACGCGCGCGCCGAGGCGACGGTGCGCGAACGGGAAATGAGAGAGGAGAGACGTCGAGAGAACGAGCGGAGACGCGCGGCGTTGGCGAGGCGCGCCGAGATGGACGCGGCGAAACCGTCGCCGCGCGCGCGCGCGGCGATGCGACAGAGTTTAGAGCGCGCGCGAGAGCTCTTCGCGCGAGCGAAAATACGCGTCAACGAGGACGTGATCCACGATGATTCTTTGTAACCATTAGTAGCGCGCGTGTTCGGTTCGTCGACGCGATGTCGACGAACGTCCCCGTCGTCGTTGACGCGCGCGACGTCACGACGCGCCTCGCGACGCGCATGTCGCGCGCGGTCCGTACCACCCCGCGCGTCCGCGTGTTCGCGTTCACGCGTGAACGCGTGCGACGACGACGGTCGACGCCCCCGAGTGCGTCGTACGAAAAGACGTGGAGCAACCCGTCGGGAAGCGTCATCGATGTCATCGATGAGAGACGTGACACCGGCGCCTACGCGTGCGCCCGGCCCTTCGTGTGGAACGACATCGACGTCGGTGGACGCATGGGCGTGGTGAAAATGCACGACGGGTCGCTGTGGATACACTCGCCGATCGATCTGGATGCGATGACGAAACGAGCGGTGGACGCGCTCGGTCCGGTGAAGTTTATCGTGTCGCCGAATTACGAGCACGTGAAATACGCGAAAGCGTGGAAGGACGCGTACCCCGAGGCGACGCTGTACGGATGCCCGGGATTGAAGGCGAAAACGTCGGGGGTGATTCCGTACGACGTCGATCTCGGCGACGTCCCAGGGGCGTGTCCTCCCGAGTGGCGCGGCGAGTTCCAATGCGAGCACTTCGACTCGGAACGGACCCCGATACTCGGCGGGGCCTTTTTCAACGAAGTCGTGTTCCATCACGTACCCACGGAAACGTTATTCATCACCGATTTGGTGTGGACGTACCCCGAACGTCGCGTGGACGGCGTGGACGTCCCGCTCGGAACGCGCGCGTGGAAAGCGCTCATGGACGAGCTCTATTTACCCGTCTACCTGAACCTCATGGTGCGCGATCGCGCCAGGTTCGCCGCGAGCGTCCGAAGATTAACGCACGATTGGTCGTGGACGACGTTCGTGCCGTGTCACGGCACCGTCGAGCGCGGCGCGCGCGCGAGACAAATCATCCGCGACCACCTCTCGCGTTGATTGTAACCGTCTCTTCACTCCTCGCCCGCGCGCGATGCCACCGCGCCGGCGCGCGTCTCGCGCGTCCGAGCGCTCGGACGCCGACGACGCGTCCGCGCGATGCGCAGATACCGAGCGCGCGCGCAAGCGAGCGAAGGGATCGACCGCGACGAGAGCTCTGCGCATCGCGCGAGCGACCGAATCGGCGGTGACGGAGGCGAAGGCGAACGGACCGTCCACGTCGGTCCGCGCGCCCGCGCCGGGGGAGGGCGACGCGCTCTGGACCCATGGTGAACGCGCGATGTCGAACTCCGTGCCCGCGAACGCGTCGACGGCGTGGGACGAGGACGAGGACGAGGACGCGCGCGACGACGGGTGTTCGGAGCCGGCGTCTTCGCTGGGGACGAGCGCGAAGACGTCTTCACTGCGAGCGAGACGGTCGCTTCCGGGTCTGCGCCTCCCAAACGAGGCTTTCGATGACGACCGCGAGGATGAGGGTGAACGAGAGATTGAGAGTGGGCTCGCGGAGGCGCGAAACAACGACGCGCCGTTGCCCGCGGATGGATGGATCCAACCGTGCTTCGCGTGTTCGAGATTGACGTGGCAAAGCGTCACCGTCGCCGGGTTCAAAGTGTATAGATGCGCGACGTGTGGAGAATCGTTTCGCGCCCGAGCGGCGGCGATGGCTTCTCGGGGTGAGGGCGTGAGTGGGGACGATGGCGATGGCAATAAAAGCGAAGTACTCGCGTCGCTCATGAACAAGTTGCGCGACGTCGTCGATCAAGTCGGTGGCGAACGTCTCAGGGGATCCATCGGTGTCGTGCAAGGATCGGCACCAGAGTGATGCGTGCGTGGTGATTAGGGTGTATTATAGACGAACGAATTAGTGCTAGAGTTCGTCTCGATTCGGAATCGTCCCGTCCGGAATCGCTCCGCCGTCATCCTGGGACGCGAAATCAAACCATTCCTCCTCTTCGAGAATCTCGTCGACTTCGGCGCGATCCAACCCGTGTTTCTCACGCTCACGCCTCCATGCTTCAGCCTGTTCTCTTCGAACGGCGCCCCAATCGATCTCCCCGTTCACCATCCTCCACTTGGCGTACGCGGCGTCTTCGTCCTTCGACTGTTCCTCCTCTTCGCGACGCTCGCGTTCCTCCTCAGATGGATGCTCCACGTGATACTTTGCGTTATCCAGAAGATTCCAGACCGCGTGTGAGTTACCAGACGGAGTGTTCTTGAGTTGAGGCGTCATCGACATGCACGTCATGATTTTCATCGTGTCATGCCATTGCTGTCGATTACCGCGCTCCTCCGCGAAGGCGACGATTCGATGAACGAGTTTATCGCACTCTTCGGGCGTCACCGTTTCGCCCGTGACCGCCTTCTCCAGCGTGTCATCAAACGTTATCAATCCTTCATCGCGCAGCGAGGCGAAACACTTCCAAGGGTCCATATCTCGAAATGCCATCTCCGTGAGCGCCACACCCGGTGACTCGATGAATTCCATCACTCGTTGCGACGTCTTTTTTGAGCCCTTGTAAATGACCCCTTTCTCCTTGTGCCCTCGCTTAAATAAGACGACCGTGGGAAGACCGGTAATGTTATACTTCGCCGCCGCTGATCGAGCGTTGTCTACGTTTAGTCTACCTATCTTCACTCGCCCGCCGTTTACTCGCCGTTCCCGAGCGTAGTGCGCGCCGACGCGTTCGTAATCCTTTTTGAAAGCCTTGCAATGTCCACACCACTCGGCGTAGAACTCTATCACGGCATCGTACTCCTCATCCTTGGCGTACGCGTCGACGGTATCCAGCGTGAGCTCGTCGACGTCGGGCGGAACCACCGCCCGCCGCTCTGGCTCGAGACCGAGCGCGTAGTTCAACCACTCCACCGTCTCCTTTGCGTTTAGCTCGCCCTCGAAGCGTTTCGGCGCCCTGATCTTCGTCTCTCCCGAAGCGGTGACGTAATACCATCTCTTTCGCTTCAAAAGTGCGACGAACGGCGCGTTCGTGGCCCCGAACGCCGCCGTCACGTTCGGCGTCTCTCTCGCGTCCGGCACCTCGACAAACGTCAGACCCGTCTTCTTCTCCGTCTTCGCATCGATCGCGTCGTACAGGCTCGCCACGAAGCGAAATTCGTGCGCGTAATTCTTGCACAACGCGCAGTGCGGGATCAGGAGCGCCACCGCGACGTCGGAATCCCTCGCCGCCGCGAACACCTCGCGTTCGTCGAGCGTGGCGAAGAAATTATCCAACCCACCGAATCCATCCCGCACGACGCCGTGTCCCGCTTCGTTCCCTTCCGCGACGCCCGCGCGCGCGAGCGCGAGCGCGCCGAGGACGACCGCCATCGTCCACGCCGCTCCCCCGGTCGCGCGCGTCCACGCGAGCGCGCGAACGTCCACGCGCGGTCGACGACGCGCGCGGGCGTCGGCGCGCGACCGCGTCACTCCCGACCGCGCGAGGTCGAGCGCGCGCGCGATGTCCACGTCGCGCGCGATGTCCATCTCGCGCGCGCGATCGAGCGAGCGCGCGGGGTGTCGCGCCATCGTCTGGTGCGTCGTCCTCTTCACCTCGCTCTCCGTGAGCGCATCCATCGTGTTGTGGGAAACGAAACTCGACGCGACGGGCGATTCGATCGGGGCCAAACGCGCGGTGACGCAAGGTGTGATCGTGGCGTTAGCGGTCATCGGGTTGGCGTGCGCGTGGGCGACGCGCGCGGGAGATCCGGGGGTGGTGACGCCGAGCGCGGAGGACGACGCCGCGGCGCGCGTCGTCGAACGGTTGGACGAAACGATCGCGCGGGAGGTGGAGAAGGAGACGAACGCGGTGAACGCGGTGGAATCGTACACGGAGAGGCTGCGGGCGTGCATTCGACGCGCCGTGAGCGAGGACGCGGAGGCGAGCGCGCTCGGGATGGATAAGGAATTCGACGGAACGTGGACGAAACTCGGCGCGGGCGAGGGGGCGAGACGGGTCAAATTTTGCGGCACGTGCAAGGTGTGGCGCCCGCCCGCGTCCACGCATTGCTCGAGCTGTGACGTGTGCGTGCGAAGATTTGACCATCACTGCGGCGTTCTCGGTAATTGCATCGGTGAGTACAACCATCGATGGTTCGTCGGCTTGCTCGCGAGCTCGGCGGCCATGGGAGCGCTCATCTTTGTCGTCTCGGCGTACACGCTGGCGAAGATTTCGAAGAACGAGTGGCGCTCGTCGGCGTATCCGTACATGCTCCTCGCGTGCACGTGTGCGGGACTCCACGTCTTGGGCCTCATCGCCTTCGCGTGGATGCACGTGGGGCTCTTCGTCTTTGACGTCACGACAAAGCACGTCGTCACGCGCCCGCGCGGGACGTCGATTCTGGACGTCAGGCGTGAATATTCCTCCAACGCGTCGTGTTACGGTCGTTGCTGCGCCGTTCCATTCCGTCTCAAGAGCGCTGCGATGCGGGAGTTCCGGTCGCGCAGACCGCGCGCGAGCGAGGCGTGTTGAAGGTTGTTGTAATCATTTATTGTGAAAATCGCTTCGAGCCACTTCCCGAGGTCAGTTCCGCGCCCGCGACGCGTCGACCGCCATGACGCGAGGCGGTGAGAGACGATCGCGTCGAGCGTCCTGCGCCGGAGGATCGCACGGGCGAGGCTTTTGGAGCGACGTCGGTGAATTCTTCGCCGCGCTCTTCGCCCAAGTCGCGGTGACCTTGGGACTCGGCTCGTCCGCGTCCGCTCGCGCGTACGCCATCAGTGACGCGCAAAAGTTCAAGCTCAACGCCCTGGCCCTTCGCGCCTGCGTCGCGTTCGATGGTGAGCGGATGGAACACACCGACGCGCTGCGAAAGCTCTGGCGACTCGCGCTCGGCGGCGAGGCGCCGAAAGATTTGAAGAGCGAGCGATGGAAGGAAATGGGATGGCAAGGAACGTCGCCGGAGACAGATTTTCGCGCGGGAGGATACATGTCGCTCGAAAACCTCGTGTGGTTCGCCGAGAAGGAACCGGAACGGTTTAAAGCGTTGTCGACAAAGGCGAACGGACGGCGAAGTCAATTTGAGTATCCGTTCGCGGTGGCGGGGGTAAATCTCACGTTTAATCTGGTGGAAATGTTTGAGGTGAAACAGGAGGGCCCGACGACCGCCGCGGGGGCGTGTTTCGCCCGACTCATCGATCTCGACGACGAGGCGTTTGAGCGCGCGTACGTTCTCGCGTTCGAGACGCTCGATCGCGAGTGGCTATCGTATCCCGGGGGCGCGACTTACATGGATTTCCCCGTCGTCTTGAAGGCGACGAAAGAGCGGCTGGCGCGCGCGATGAACGAGGCCAAGACTCTGGAGGAGGTCAGGGCTAATTTAGATTGAAAGTCGGCGTCTCCGCGCGCGGCGGCTTTGTTGTATTAGTTCTAGATCACGCGCGTTACACAGCTTCCTCTCTCCTCTACCTCACGCGATACCCGCGGCCTCCGCGATCGCCTGTTTCGCCCGTCCCAGTCTACGCCTTCGCTGCCAAGGCATCTCGTCGTCAAAAATCTGTACGCGTCGCTCGACGTCATCGTTTTCCTCCACAGCTATCGCCACGTGCGTGCGCGGTCGATGCATCACCCCTGCGCGCCCACGACCGTGCATGGAGACCCTCCGCAGATATTGCCCTTTCCCCACGGTGGCCCAGGCGATGACGAGCCGATCGCGATCGAGACCCTGATTGTTCACCGCGTTCCCCACGGCTGACTGAATCACTTTCCCCACCGTCTTCGCCACTCTCTTCGGAGACATGTCGCACTGTATCAGCGCGTCGTCCACGCGCAGTCCGCGAATGAGACGAAGGAAAGCGCTGAACTTCTTCGGCGATCCCTTGGCGTCGCGTAAAACAGCGCGCGCGCGTTCAGAAATTCCACCATCCGTGAGCGCGCCCGGAATGACCGCGCCGCGCGTCGCGCGCGCCGGCGGCGGCGCCCGACGCAGCGGACTCATCCCCGGTTCGCTCGTCGACGACGTCGGCGTCGTCTGCGAGTCACTCGCGCGTTCGCCCGCGTTCGCCGTCGACGCCGTGGACGACGCGTGCGCGCGTCGCGAGGTCGAGACCGCGGCACTTCGCGCGAGTGACGGTGCGAGCGCCCGTCGCTCGAACACGGACGACGCGAACGCGCGCAGGGCGACGGAGGACGCGGTGGTGACGTCCGAGCGATGAAACGCCCGTCGCACCGCGCTCGCGAACGCGCTGGACATGACGAAGGAGGCGCGAGCGCGACGCGATGTGCGGGGCGCGAACAACCCTAGGCTGGGGGTGGAGACGCGCGCGTCGTCGGCTGAAACGTCGGAGACGGATGGGAAAGTGCGGAGAACGCGCACGAATACGCCGCTCTCACGACTACACTACTCGAGGGGCACTAGCGACTAATTTCTTCGTCGCGTCGTCGATCCACGATCCGTTTGCGAGAAGTTCATCCTCCGCGAGCGCGCGTTGGGTCGAGGCAAACGTCGCCCGGGCGCCGACGCGTATAGCCTTCGCTATTCGAAATCTCTCCTCGTGTTCCCCACCCACCGCCGCGGCAGTTCGCTCGTACTCTTCCACCTCTTCGTCCGTGGCTCCGCACACGAACGACTCGACCTGATTCAGAAGCCACGCGACGTAACGACCCGCGCGGCGGCGACTCTCGGGTCTGAGTTGAAAGAGCTCCCCGTCGCCGCCGCCGTTCGTTGAAATGACGGCGGACGCCGCGATGGAGACGACTTCATCGGCCTCGCAACACATGATACCGGCTATTCCTCCCAAAACCGTCGGCAGAGCGCGCATGCTGATGACGAATGAAAGTTCCTCCCCCTCGTTGAGGCCCAGCGCGCCGGCGCGCGTGAGCAGCTCGCGACGCAGCGCCGCGGTTTCCGCCTTGTCATCCTTCGCAACGGCGTTGAGACCGTTGGAGAACACGGCGTCTGGAAGGTTGAACACTACCGAGCAGTCGTCGTGCACGGGATCTGACGGCACGAAACCGTACCATAACCACATCTCTTCATTCGACAGTTCGCCGTACGTCCAACGCAGCGCCTCGCCCGCGGCGACGTCTCGCGTCGTCACCCACTTCGCCCCCGAATCCGTCGACTCTATGCGCACGTTTGGGCCACTCACCGCGCTCGTGGGTGAATGGTTCAGAATGTCGCACACGGGTACGAGGCATCTCTTTCGTATAACCTCCCCGCTATCACCCTTTCGCACCTCAAACGTGATGGCGCGACTGCGCACCATGGACCACGCGTGCGCAAACTCTCCCTCGTCCAGATCGTCTTCACCGTCGATTTCGCGCACGATGGCGCGCGCATCATCGTACGCCAGTGCGAATTCCTGTCGCGCGCTATCAATCTGATCCACCAGATACAGCGAGAGCATCGGTACGAGCGCTTCAATTTCGTCGTCGTCGCACAGCGCCGGCGTCCGCGCGGGCTCCCGCGGGAGCGACGCCGCGTACGCCGCGATCGGTGACCTCTCCGGATGCCGCTTCGCTTCGACGAGCATCAAACCAATCGCCACATCATCGCTCACGCGTCTTTCGCACGCTCGTTCGTGTCGCGATATCGCCTCTCCAATCGCGTCCTCCGCGCGCGCCCGCGCGGCGTCGTACGCCGGCGCCTCGAGCGCGCGCGCGAGCACCGTCGTCCCCCGCTCGATCGCTCGCTTCGCGACGACGCCCACGATCCCGCGCGTGGATTCGATCGCCCCGATCGTCACCGCGTCGTCGTTCACCGTCGTCCACGGCGCGGCCTCTCGCACGAGCGCATCGTACGCGTCGGACGACGCGGCGGCTCGAGCGCGCGGTCGTGGTCGACGGCGATGCGCTCGTGGACGCGCGCGCGCGGTGAAAGACGCGCGCGACGACGACGTCGAGGACGATGGCGTCGAGCCACGGCGCATCGAACGACGCGGATTCGCGCGCGCGTCGAGGACTGGGACGAGGACTGGGACGGAGAAAACGTGCGCGGGCTCCGTTAAAGTGGTCATGAAGTCTGACCGTCTCCGCTACTCGCGCGCGACGCGGTCGTCGACGTCGGCGAGAGAGATGAAACCGACGGCGTCGCGGCTGTCTTCGTCGTCATCGAACGAATCGTCGACGCCGTAACCGCCCCAGCGCTCGCTCGGCGACTTTCTCGCGCTCGCGGCGACGGAGCCGGGCTTGGAAGATTTGAGCGCCGTTCCGTATAGACGCTCGTACACGGGCTCGTTCGCGTCGGTTCTAGACGCCGCGATCCGGCTCGATCGCCTGTTGATCTGCGGCGTGAATTCTTGATGAGATGATGGCGATGGACTCTGTCCGGCGCGAGTGCCCGATGGAGTCTCCGTGACGCGCCTTGCTTCTCCTCTCCTTCTCGCGTCTCTCGTCGTCGCCATCCGTTTCTTGAGCGCCAACCGCAACGACTTGGGATCCAAACTAGGTTTGAACGTGGCGCCGGCGACCTCTCGCTGCACCGCTTCCTCTTTTGCAAGTTTGATCTTCGCTTCTCTTCGTTCATTCCAAGCCTGAAGGTCGTCGAGCGTCCGCTGCATCGTCTCCGCTCGCTTGGTCAGTGGAACCCGCGCAGAGGAGTTTTCAGCTTCTGTTCGCGCAGCTCGCCCCACCTGGGCTTGCTCAAGTCGGCGTTCCGCTCGCTCTGTCGCCTTTGATGTGTACTGCTCGAGCCTTGAAGAAAAGTCCGACATCCTCGACGTTATCTCCCGAGTTTTCTTGCTCATGCTCATCGAAACGCTCGCCTCCGCGAGGCGTTGAGCCTCACTCCGCGCGGCTTCTTGAAGCTTGGCGCGCTGCGCATCGCTCTCCGCGGCGCGGTGATGGAGCGCCTCCGTGCTGCGGTCGATCTCAGCTCGAGTCAACCTCGCTCCGTCCGCCGCTGCGTGCTCTTCTCGACGAATCTTCTCCAAGTTCGCAGCCTCTCTCGCGCGTTTGAGGATCCAACCCCGCAGTAGACGATCCTCGACGTTTTCGCCATCCGTTCGCCTTCGCGGCTTTGGCTTCTTCTTCGTGCCGTCCGAATCGTCGGGAAAGGAAGTTGACCTAGTGTGTGGGCGTCGTGGGGTTGACGAAATCTTCCGAACGTGTTTTCCCTCCGGTATCGTCGCGACGTCCAATTCTCTCCTACCGCCGTTCGAGGCGGTTACCGCGACGTTTGTCGTTGAATCGGACGCGAGTTGGTTCGTCCCTCCCGAGGATCCACTGCTCGTCGTGGGCGCACCAAAAGCGTTCGAGGCCATAGTAATATCACGCGTTTCTGAACTCAGCGTTAGAAGACGATCGTCTCCCACGACGTACCGCGCAGCGCGCTCCAGTGTCCCCGTCGGCGCCTCAGCGCTCGCGTGTTTTTCCTCCAATCCAAACGCCGCCGCGAGGGTGATCATGTTCATGATCTCGTCGTTCGTGAGCGCGCCCTGCGTATCGTCGTAAAAATACTAGGTCAGTCGTTCCGACGCAACGCGCGCGCGGCGTCCATCCGAGCTCCGCGTCGCCGCGTCTCTGTTGAATTTGGTTGTTTCGTTTGGATTGTTCCCTCTGGTATCCACCGACGACGACACGAAATCTCAAGCCTGGATCGACCGCCATCTCACGCATCGGTATCGATCATTTCGCGCTCGACCGTTCGCTCGCTCGCACCTCATCCAACGCCGCGTCCAGTCTGTCGTGAAGTTTTTGAAACATCGCAGCTCTCGGGCTACCGTCGCGCCCGTTCGATGAATTAGCCCTCGCGCGCGCGGCGTGCGCGGACATCGACGAGGTTGCGCCGGATTTCACCCTCATACACCCCTCGTTGTCGACGACGATGGAGCGCGACGATGAGTGCGGTGTCAGAGCGCGCGGCGGTGGTTGAGTGTTGACGCGCGCGGCGCGCGTCTTCTACGTCTTTTAGTTACAAAACTTCGCACTCACGAACCGACCTTGAACGCGTCACAAAAGAGACCGTATAGCACGCCGATCTTGAAGCAGTTCACAATCATGGGTGCGAGCGGACCCTCACACAACCACCGCAGGAGCCCGCCCTGGTTATCGACGCCGTAAAGCACGCTTGAGACGAACTCTGAGAGCAAAATAATAGTAAACGAAATAAACGCGTCTTGCGGCGACTCCGGATGCGGAATGAGCGCGCACATGGAAAAACCGACGAGGAGGGAAATTAGCGCCACCGGTAATTTCACCAGATTCGTCTTCGCCCGACCGAAGAACTTCTTGATGAGCGAGTCCAATATCTTTTGCAGCCGCGTTCGATTCCGCCGCGCGTCGTCGTCCTCTTCGTCCTCGCTCGCGAGATCGAAGCTCATCGAGAACGCGCGCACGTCTCGCGCGCACGATCTCGCCCTCGATCTCGCCCGCACCGTTCGCCCCTCGCGAGCTCTCCTTCGACCCACGTTCCCGTGCGTTGATGACACGACGCACGCCCCGGCGCGCCGCTCGTGCACATTCTCCACGGCGTTCGTCGTCGTCGTCGCCGCCGTCGTCGCCCTTCGCGCGTCGCGCGCGGTGCGACATCGTCGTGATGTCGTCGCCTCGTTCGCGGTGCGCGTGGACGCCGGACGGGCGGCCGGACGGGGGGACACCACCGCTCGCATGATGACGGTCGATCGAGACGAGGTCACGTCTGAGGACGCCGCGCTCGAGAGCGCATCGAGGGCAGTCGCGGACGGGGCGAAAAGTGATGGACACGCGCCCCATGCGGTGCGGTAAACGGTTTATAACAATGACATGACAACGCGAAAACAATGATTCAACACATACGGGACTTGCGCGATGGATGGTGATCGCTCGCTCACGCGCGCGGCGGCGTTTTCCAATCGCTCTCGACGGGACCGCGATCGAAGATGATTTCACGGTGGCAGCTCCAGACGAGTCGAATCGCTTCGATCGTTCCGATCCCGCCAGCCATCGGCGTGCCCGCAGGGCCGAACCAATGGTTCTGTGGCGCTCCCGTCGTACGAGCTCGCCTGCCCGCGTACGTCGTACCGTTAACCGTGGAGCCGAGCACGCGTTGCGAAAACATCTCGTCGCTCGAGACGACGGCTGCGGTGAGATGCGCATCCATGCGCTCGCACGCGTCCAGAACCAACGGGAGCTCTTCGTCGTCGTACGACGTGAGCACTTGCATTGGGCCGAAAATTTCCGTCGTCACGAGCTTGAAGTTCTCTTCGCTCGCCATGATGGTTTTGAGCGGAACGAACACGGCGGTGGGTTCGATTGCGCCGTATTGAGAAGGAATCGAGTGATTTCCATCCTTCAACTCCTTGCCACCGAAGGCAACGCGCGCGCCCGGAAGCGCGGCGAGCCTGTCGACGTGATCTAGCATCGTTTTCGTGGTCAGCGTGAGCACTGGACCGACCGTCAAGTCTTCCAGGTTGCGCTCGCCAGCCAACGCGGCGAGCTTTGACTCGATGCCGACGTCAACCCAGTTTTTGTGCATGAACAGGATTGATTGAGCAGAGCACTTTTGTCCGCTACACGCGTACGCGTCTTGATCGCACACGTGCGCGACGTAATCAACGTCACCGACGTCGGGGCCCAAAATTTTCCAATCGAAACCCGCGTCTTCCAGCTTGACGTTGCCCTCGAGCTCTCGCGCGAGATGGTGCGCGACCTTTTGTGATCCAGTGAATAGCGTCATCTTCGGCTTCGCCGCGCTTAATATAGAGTTCATCGTGACTCCGTCTGAGTGGATGAAATCAAGATCCGTCGCGGGCGCGCCGCACTCGATCATGAGCCGGATGAACTGCTCGAGTACGACGCTCACCTTTGAATCCGATTTCACCAGAGCCTTGTTGCCCATGAACAACGCTCCCATGAGTTGCAAGACTGGAATCTCGAGTGGGAAATTGAACGGCGTGATGACCGCGACGGGTCCGTACGGCCAACGAAGGCCGTGACTCTGTTGACCGAGATGGTCGCCTGAGACAGAGAATCCTCTCGCCATAAAGCGCACGTTGTCGCCGGCAAAGTTTTCCAGGAATTTCCTCGTGACGACCACCTCCGCGAGTGCCTGCGCGTGAGACTTCGGCGCCACGCGCTGGATGAGACGCGCAAAGTATTCTTCGACTTCTGGCTTTCGAAACTCCTGCGCGAGTCGCATCGACACGTCTCCCCACATGACGTACCTCTCCGGAGCCTTGAACGCGTTGTGCAAACCGCTCTTCGGACACGACGCCAGAGACCGTGCGACTTCGTCAATTTCCTGCTTGGTGTCCGTCGATGGCAAAACAATGAATGCGTCCGTCTCAGATTTATTCATCGGATCGACGATCTTCGTCGCTCGACTCTCATCGGTGATCTCCCGCCACGCGCCCGCGATGAGGTTCGCCCCCCGCGCCGCGCCCGCGGCGCGCGACATCCCCCACGGATCCGCCGTGGCCCAGCGCGGGACGACGTTGACCGTCCCATCGCTCGCGCTCGTCGACGTCGCGCGCGCGCGACCGAGCGCGCGTCCGATCGAGACGCGCGCGTCGAGTAAGCCACCGGCCGTCGACGCCACTCTCTGAATCGCCGATCGACGCATGTGCCTTCGCTCTCGACGACGGAGCCCGTCGACGACGACGACGACGACGACGACGCGACGACGCGACGACGCGACGACGACGACGCGCGAGAGAGAACGCACGCGATCGACGACGCGACGACGCGCGCGAGAGACCGAGGCGCCGCGCGTCTCCGTCTCTCGTCCAACGCTCGCACGCCAACGACCAACCGTTGGTGCGACGTGATGACTGGACGCTCGATGCGACCGGCGTGGACAGAGCGCGACGACGACGATCGCGAATTCACGCGCGCGTGGGAGCGGTGATACGCACGCGCGATTTTCCCGTCGTCATGCGCGTCCTCGCCCTCGCGCGTCGCGCGCGCGAGAGCCAACGGGGCGTCGCGAACGCGCTGACGCGATCGTCCATCGCTCGGACGGCGGATTATTCCACCGCGCCCGCGGTTTTCGTCGATGGAAACACGCGCGTGATCGTGCAGGGATTCACTGGAAAGAACGGAACGTTCCACAGCGAACAGGCGATCGCGTACGGGACCAAGGTCGTGGGAGGCGTGACGCCGAAGAAGGGCGGGACGACCCACCTCGGGCTGCCGGTGTTCGACACCGTGCGAGAGGCGGTGGTGGAGACGAAGGCGAACGCGTCGGTGATTTACGTCCCACCGCCGTTCGCGGCGAAGGCGATCATGGAGGCCGTCGAGGCCGAGATCGATCTCGTCGTGTGCATCACGGAGGGCGTACCGCAACACGACATGGTGCGCGTGAAGCGCGCGCTCATGAGTCAAAGTAAGACGAGACTCATCGGACCGAACTGCCCAGGGATCATCAAGCCCGGAGAGTGCAAGATCGGCATCATGCCAGGGTACATTCACAAGCCGGGACGCATCGGCGTCGTCTCGCGTTCGGGGACGTTGACGTACGAGGCTGTTTATCAGACAACTGTAACCGGCTTGGGGCAGTCGACGTGCGTCGGCATCGGCGGAGATCCTTTCAACGGCACCAACTTTGTAGATTGTCTCGAAAAGTTCGTCAAAGATCCACAAACCGAAGGAATCATCATGATCGGTGAGATTGGAGGTACCGCCGAGGAAGAGGCTGCGGAATTTATCAGAGCGAGCGGAACCGATAAGCCCATCGTCTCGTTCATCGCCGGCTTGACCGCTCCGCCTGGAAGACGCATGGGACACGCTGGGGCCATCATCTCCGGCGGCAAGGGCGGCGCGAGCGATAAAATCGCCGCCCTCGAGGCTGCGGGCGTGCGCGTCGTAAAGTCTCCGGCGAAGATGGGTCAGGCAATGTATGACATGTTTGCCGAGCGGAAAATGCTGTAGCAAGCTGTAAGAATTTCAATCGATTGCATCACGCGGCGTAATCTTCTATGAGCGACCTATTCGAGATGATTCTAAACGCGATATTCGCATCGTCGATCCCAAGCGCCGCTCGCGCCGCGGCGAGCGCGACGTTCTCCAAAGGGACCGGAGCGTTTTCAATCAGGGCGCTCACGCCCGAAGCGCGCAACAAAAAGCGAGCTGGATCCATCGCTAGCGCGAGTGGGACGATCCCACCGCCGCCGAGTCGTCGCGTGCCACTCACGGCGGCGGGTTTCAGTACCACAGCGGTTCGACCGTCGAGCGCGAACTCGTCTCGAGCGAACGCCTCGACGTTAGCCTTGCCGCGCGCGTACGACGCTAAACCAGGCACGAGAGGCGGGATTGAGGCACCGACGACCACCATGCGTGTCACCCCGTTCTTAATCGCCGCTCGTCCGGGTATGATGTTCGTGTCACCATTCGCTCGCACGATGTCGTTCGCGCTCACCCACGGGAACGGCAGCGCTCCGATGGCTGTCACCACGGCGCTGGCGCCTCGAGTGATCTCTTCGCAACGCGTCGCGTCCATCGCGTCGCACTGAACGAACGTCGCCCGCGACGCCCACGACTCACTCGACGCCCACTTCGGCGCCTCCCCGGACCTGGACGCGCACACAATCTCCACGAGCGCTGACGATGACGATGACGACGACGCTGATGATGACGATGACGACGACGCCGCCGATGACGATGACGCCGCCGACGCCGCCGCCGACGCCTCGTACAGCGCGCGCGCGATGGCGCTCCCGACGTACCCGCTTCCGCCGAACACGACCACGCGTTGCGCCGCCGCGGTAGTCGCCGGCGACATCGAGCGCTTCGTGACGCGCGTCGCTGTGGCTGCGTCTCACTTCACGACGCGGATGTTCACGCGACCGTCGACGCCGAGGCCGATCACCGCGCGCGCGCGCGTCGAGCGATCGCGCGCGACGAGGCGGAGATCGAATGGACGCGCCACCGCGCAGCGAACGCGCGCGTCGCAGGTGCGACGCGATGACGATGACGAGGCTGATTCAACGACGATGACGAGACGGACCGCTCGTTCGACGGTCGACGGTTATTTTTTTGAGGCGTGCGAGAAAGTCAACCCTTGATGGACCCGGCGTTTTCGCGCGCGCCGTCGCGGTGACGGAGGCGACGACGCGAACGAGAGGAGAGACGCGCGTTCGACCGAGAACTGACCGCGTGGACGTTATCCGCAGGAGTTCGAGGCGCCGAATCAGTACGGGTACTTCCCGTCCGCGATCGAGGCGGCGAGAAAGAAGAGGGAGACGCAAAATGGGTTCGATAAAAATGTCGGCCTATCCAAGGCGGAACAAAAGGCGCGCTTCAAGACGCTGTGCTCGAAGCATCCGGAGTTACAAAAATGCCAAAAAGACTACGTTTCGCCGCTTCGCGTGAAGCCGTCGACGCAGAGCGTCATCAACGGTAGCGTCGTGCGAAGTGACGGAATTATCCTCGTTCCGGGCAACAAGGAGGATCTCATCACATGGGCGCTCGATCCCGCCATGTCCGGTGATACTCTCGGCTTGCTCCTCCCCACTTTGTTCATCATCATCGGCGCGCAGCTGAAGCAAGCCGCGGGCGTCCCGGAATACGTCTCCGGTGCGGTCGGCGTGACCACCAAGCTTCTCGCCACCGCCTTAGTTGCGCTTTACTGGGTTCCGTCGTTCATTAACTAATTTCAAAGACGACACCCAACGCGCCGGCGAGCGCATTCGTGATTGTTTGTAAATCATACATCGAGCTTAGTCAGCCAACCGTCGCTCACGAAAAGGCTACTGAATATGCTACCTAGAAAATACAAGCACCTAATCTAATATTCGAGCACGAACGAATTAACTGGGTGGAATCGACACCGAGACGATCTGCTCACCTCGAACGAAAATTTGTTGCAGGCGTCGCGCGCGACGCTCCAATTTCGGCGCGCAGCGCGTCTGCGTCCTCGAGTGTCCCCCAACCACGTCCGTCGTTCCCGTTCGCTCTCTCTCGACCACGCGCATCACGCGCACGGTGTACGTCTCCTCGACGTCGGTAAGAATCATGTTTGCGAACTTGTCAAATGCCTCGACGTACGCCGTGGCGACGCCTCGAACGCCGCGCGAGTGTCGCGTGACAATCGTAACTCGTTCCCTTCGCTCGCGTGCGTCTCGCAAGACGCGCAGAGGACCTTCTCGAGCGTGTTTTGAATTCGCCAGTGCGTCACACAGTCGCTCGCGTTTGGCGAACGCCGCGTCTTCCTTTGTGAAACGTTCCGCTCTCTGTTTCGCTCGAGCCTGCGCCGCGAAGGACGCCAACCCTCTCGTCTGTCTTCCTGCACCGTGCTCTCGCCCAACCTTCTCCCCAGTGCTCGGGAGTAATCTTCTGCACTGCCTCACCGTGTCCAGGGCGCGCATTCGAGGGAACGGCGGCGTCGCGTTCGACGACTTCTTCAGCGCCAACACCGGGTCGAAGTCGCTCGAGGCGAAATCGAGCCTGGAATCGTCCGTGCGCGCGCGCGCGGCCGCCCGCCGCCCGTCGTCGGCGTCGTCATCACCGACGTCGCCGTCGTCGTCCATCGCGACCGACGCTCGCGCTCGCGCGACCTCGCGCGCGTCGCTGTGCGCACATAGAGTCGATGCGTGCTCGAATCTGCGTCGCATCCGCACTTTCGGTCGCTCGCGTGGACGCGATCTTCCTTCATCATGTCCGACTCCCCCGGTGCGTGGTACGCATCTTTACCACCGATATCAAAGTTTTGGTTCACCGCGTGCGGGGGGTGCACGGTCGGTTACCACTGCTCGCTGATCGACCCGCGAGCGTTGATGCTGTCGTGGACGATCGTTCGAAGAAAGTTTCAACCGTGGCGAGTGGTGACGAATTTCTTCTTTCTCGGTAAATTCTCACTCGGGTTCGCGATGCGCATGGTCATGATCGCGCAGTACGCCGTATCGTTGGAGAAGCAATCGTTCACGGGCGCGAGCGCGACGGCGGATTTCTTGACGTTTCTGTTATTCGGCGTCGCCCTCTTGACGCCGCTCGAATTGGTCGTTCCGTCGCTCGCGCAGGCGTTTTACGGCGATAGTTTAATTTTCATGTGTCTGTACTTGTGGAGCAGAGAGAATCCGAGGGCAAGGGTGTCGTTGATGGGAGTCGTACGCGTGGGGGCGTTTTACTTTCCTTGGGCCATGCTCGCGATGACGGTGCTCATGGGAGGTGACCCCGTTCCAGACTTTTTAGGAATCGTCGCCGGACACACGTATTACTTCTTCACTCGATTATATCCGCTGCGTTACGGGTGTAGGTCGTTCATCCGCACCCCCAAGTTCGTGCGGGCCATCGCGGATTACGTCAACGCGCGAAATGGAGTGGCTAACGCCGCGTCGAACGCCGTGACGCCCCCTCGCGCGCGCTACTTTTACGGCCGAGGCAATCGCTTAGGAGGAGACTAGAAATGTAAACTACACGATGTACGCTTCACGCGCGCGTATCCATCACGCGCGACTCGCGCAAAATGAGAAGACCCACCTCGGTGAACAATCCGAGCGCCGCTCCGAGAGCGGTGCACAGACCTCGCGCCCAGGCGACTCCTACGAAAAAGCCGCCTTGCTCCAACGCTCGACCGCCGACGTAACCGGCGGTGGCGCACGCAAACATTATCGTCAGGACGTGCGCACCCAAACCGTACGCGTGAACGTCCGATTTGAAAGATGGAGACGGTGCGTTTGACCGCGACGCGCGACCTCTATCTACATCTCGAGTGATGTCGGCGTATTTTCTCGCCTCCACCTCGTCCCGTAGCTTGTCCATGAGTGCGCGATGCGCCTCGCGCTCGTTCTCCTCTTCCTTCGTCAACGTTCTCTCGCGTCGCGTCAGCTCGAACCGTATATCGCGAACAGGGTCGATGACGCCCATCACTGTCGCCTCGCTCTCGCCGTTCGCGCGCAAACACGCGAACGCGTCGAACACCACGTCGTAATCCACTCGCACGTCCGCTCCTCCCGAATTCGCGCACGCCTCGAGCGCTCGAGCAGAGCGCGCTCGAACGCGCGCGTCCTCCGAGCGCTCGCTCGCGATTTTCAGAGCGCTGTGAATGACGGCGCTCGCGTTGAAGTCGATCGTCACCCTCGCACGCGTCGACGCATCATCGAACGTCGCCATGAAGCGAGCGGTGACGTTCTCGCGCGCCGTCGGAGACGATCGCGCGCGCGCGCATCGCGCTCTGTGGCGCGCCCACTTTTTTCGCGTCGCACTGGAGAAAAAAAACCCGTAACTCAGTTGCGTCCTTCATCAGCTTCTATTCGGTCGAAAGCCTGCGTTCGATGATGGAGATATATCAACATGTTTGATTGATAACCTTTGACGGGTTTTCTTTCGTTTCCTTCATGTCACGCATGTGTTTTGGTACGGGATGGATTGACTCGTTACTTAATTCTGATACTAACTCAGGACAACATCGAAGAGTTGTGGCGGAGAGCACTGAAAGCTATAGAAACGTGTCAATGCGCGCAAGGGTGTCCTTCTTGTATCCAAGCAGGCCGCGGTCGCGAGGCAGGGTTCAAAAAAAGCGACGCGAAGACGGTTCTCGATGGCTTGCTCGGCACGTGGCTGCATTACTGACGACGTGCCGTGCTCTGAATGTGTAGCGCGCGTGAAACTCGCTTGGATGTATCGACAGATGAATTACAATACGTTAGTTTCCTATTCATTCGCGGGACGGACTATTTTTCTATTCGCCTGGAGACCGTTATTATCAGCTCATTCATCTCTTCATCAGCCTTATTTAGCCTTTCGGCCTTGTTTCTTGGCTTTTCTTGGTTCACACGTCTCGAGGTACTCGAGCGCATGCTTCGAGTCTTCATCGAAGTTTCTCAAACGCTTCAGTCGATCTTCGCACTTTGGGTGGTTTAATTCGTTCCACCACTTTCCCACCAGAACGCCGTCTCTTTCCCCAGCATCTTCATGGTCCCATCGCGCGAGTGTGGCCACATCTTTCTGTCTCGGCAACTTGCCATCCAAGTGGTCGCGGACGTGCGCGCTGAAAATCGTCAACTTGCGCGCGTCGTGCGCTGTGTACATGCTCCCATCTTCGCGCAATACACATGTCTCGAGATACTCGAGCGCGTGCTTCGAGTCTTCATCGAATTTTCTCAAACGCTTCAGTCGCTCTTTGTCCGTTGAGTGGTTTAAGCTGTACCACCACCATCCAACCGGAACGCCGTCTCTTTCCCCAGCATCTTCATGGTCCCATCGCGCGAGTGTGGCCACATCGTTCGCTCTCGGCAACTTGCCATCCAAGTGGTCGCGGACGTGCGCGCTGAAAATCTTCAACTTGCGCGCGTCGTGCGCTGTGTACCTGCGTGCACAGCCATCTTCGCGCAACACACATGTCTCGAGATACTGGAGCGCATTGTTGGAGTCTTCATCGAAGTTTATCAAACGCTTCAGTCGCTCTTCGCACTTTGAGCGGTTTAAGTCGTACCACCACAATCCCACCTGAACGCCGTCTCTTTCCCCAGCATCTTCATGGTCCCATCGCGCGAGTGTGGCCACATCATGACATCTCGGCAACTTGCCATCCAAGTGGTCGCGGACGTGCGCGCTCAAAATCTTCAACTTGCGCGCGGCGTCAACGATCCACTCAAACTTCCAATCGAGCCGGTCGCGAACACAATCTTCAAAAAGCGCGGAACATGCTGCGCACAAACCGTCGCCTTGACGAAATGTCTGATTTTTATCAATTCTACCGATTTGCTTCTTTTTGATGCGAGAGTATCGGTCGAAAACTGAGTCAAACATATCGAAGACCAATGCGCCGACGAAAAACATACTGACAGTGCGACGGGCGTCGGCGCGGTTGCACAGAACGCACTTCCGCTTCCCCTTCCCCGTGTTCGTCGCCTCCTCCGCCGGGTTCTCGTCCGCACCACCTGTCGGCTCGGCGCCGCTCGTGCCCTGCCCCCCCCGCGCGACGCCATTGTCGCGTTTTTCAGCGCTTTCCGTGTCTCCTGTGCCGTCGAACGCACCGCCGGCACTCGTCGAGTCCACCGCGCGCGCGTCGATCTCCGCGCGCCGTTTCGCCTGTTCCTCGTTCTGTTGCGCATCGTCACGCCCACGCTTCGGTGCGAACAACGCGCGAAACGCTTCAATCATCCTCCGTGATTGCATTACAATAGTTTCGGAAGTAGGAAACTATCAGTCGGTAGTCGTCAGCCGCACGCGCGCGTCGCTGAATGCCCTCTCCACGTCCCAGACGCGCGACGTCGCGCGTGGTGCCCAGATTTGTGACCGGGATCGATTTGCCTCGCTCGCTCCGTCATCTGTGCGCGTCTTGTCGTTCGCGGAACGGACTATATTTCTGTTCTCGCTCACACGTGTGTGTTCCACTACTCGGGCGGTCTTCCGAATCCACCGTCCGCGAGCGCTTGGAGGGAGACCGTTATTCCGAGCACCATTCACGTCACGATCGATGCTCAAATCGCATTCATGGCGTGACTACGCGACGCGCGAGCGCTCGCCCACGCATCTTTCCATCGCGCCACGCACGCGAAGCACACAAAGACAACGTGATGCACGCGAGTGTGTCGCGTCTCGGTTCGCACGTCGTGAGTTCACGTCGCCGCGCGCGCGCGTGCGTCATCATCTCATTTCGACCATTTCGAACACCTTCGCCCTTGCGTCGCGCGCGCGAACGCAAACGCGTCGAGCATCACTCGTGCGCATTAACGCACGCATGGCTTGCCCTCGAGTCGCGTTTGCGAGCTCTGGGCGGCGCTCGACGCGAGCGCGTTCTTAGGCAAACTTTGCATTTTCAACACACTTTGCATTTTGGCACACATCATTTCCGCAGCCGACGCGCGTGCGCTCGGTCGGGACGCTCCTGAGGCGCGCGCACGCAATCTTCGCGTTATGCGCGAACGCTGCGTCTGACGCGCCGAGGGAGCGGCGCTCTCGCGCTCGCGCCACGCCGTAACGAAATCGCCGGCATGGATTTTGCGCGCCACGTTTTTTGCGCCATAGAGGGAAAACATCATCGCCAGCGCCGGGGCGCGCGATCGACGTGACACACGTTCATACTCGCATCGATCCCTGCTGCGAATTCGCGCCTCGTGGCCCGTTCGTGAGCCCGTGTCGCGCATTCTCGATCATGAGCTCATTGGCCCATGGCTCATGAGCTCATGGGCGACCCGCTCATGGCGGCACATCGGCGCGTCGACAAAACGCCCAGGTTCGTAGTGTCGCGTCAAACATACCATGTTCGCCGCGACGACGGCGTTCGGTGCGCTGCGGTCGATCTTGTGGCCGTAACGAACTCGCATCATGACGCATCCGTGCCTGGATTTGCGAGCAATCGGACGAATTACAATAGTTTCCTATTCAATGACATCACCGGGAGGGATTTGCATCGCTCGCTCTGTCATCTGCGCGCGTCCCGTCATTCGCGGGACGGACTATTTTTCTGTTCTCGCTCACGCATGTGTGTTCCAGTACTCGGGCGGTCTTCCGAATCCACCGTCCGCGAGCGCTTGGAGACCGTTATTCCGAGCACCGTTCACGTCACGATCAATGCTCAAATCGCAGACATGACATTCAAACGTTCGCTCAAACCCGAGGTGCTCATGTCGCCACCCGCAAAAACCGCACGTCACGGGCGTCCCCGATTCAATCGCGCGCTCCGTCATCACGTACTTCCCATCGCGGTGCAACGGTGCAAGGGTGCAAGGGGTAAAAAACGGGGCAAGGGGTAAAATCACGTAAATCGAATTACAATACGGTAGTTTCTTATTCAATGACATCACCGGGAGCGATGTGCATCGCTCGCTCCGTCATCTGTCGTGCCCCGTCATTCGCGGGACCTTAACTTTTTTAAAAAACATATCTTAGCATATCATAGCGTTCAGAGAGAGCTGGGGTCGAAGCCGTGTCGTTCTCGTTGTTTCGCAAGAGCGGAAGCAAATTTAGGCTTCATGCGATCGAGCCACGCGTCGTCGCGTCGAATCCAATATTCACACGAGACCATATCGCCAGTGTCCGCATCGATCGAATAGAAAACGAGCATCGCCATCGCAATGTCGAACACGTGCATCTGCGCCTGCACCTGGGGCAAATACGCCTTGTATTTTTTGGTTGCCCCAGCCGGCGTGATCACGTCCATAAAATTGTGCACAAATTTCACTTCGACGATGATGCCCGTGGTCGTCAACCCGTCCAGCGTTGCGGCCAAAAACGTGGGATCCGATGGGAGCGCGCGCGTCCATTTGTCGACATCCTTCACGAAATTGAAGGAGTACTTTTTCGAGATGTGCTCCAGAGCGCTTGGCTCGAGCTCCACGCCGGCGCGCATGTACGCATTTTGCATAACTGGTCTCGTTGGAAATAAACTCCCTGAGAGCGACGACGCGGTGATCATCATCCTCCGAACGGGCGCATCGCTCGACGTGGTCTTTGGGAACAAAAACGAGTAGTCTTGCGACGTCGACGGGCGCCACACGTGGCCTCGATCCAGAGCATTTTGCGCGCGTTGGATGCCCACCTTGATCAAATCAGCCTGAGCGGTGCAATGTGCCACAACCTCTGGCGTCAAATTCGGCGTGGGGTGCGGCGTCGCAATTCCAGCGAGGACCGCTCGCTCCGCCTCGTTTTTGGCCCGCAATGTCTTGAATTCCAATCCCCCTCCCGTAGTCCTTTTGATACCCTTCTTCGTCTTCGCCGCCGATGATCGTTGCTTTTGATTTGCCGAACGCGAGTATGCGCCGTGGAAACCGCAATCGAATAAAAAATCAATTGAGTGAGAAGCCGGGGCCTCGAGCTTTGTCAGTTGTTTCAGAAAATCGACGTACGTCATTGTGGTCATCTCGTTCGTAAATTGGTTCTTTTCGGACAGGGCTGCAATTGCTTCGCGCTTCTCCGTGGTCAACGGCGTTTCGGTCGTCGCCAACAATGGCAAATCCCACGCGGCATCCGAAGGAAACAGCGGCGGGAACAGAGCCGCGCCTATTTTACCACGAAACGCTGCGCGAGAGAATCGACTGAGCGCGACGGATCCACACGACCCGCTCATGATTACTTGCACGAGGTGTTTTGATCGAGCAAGTCCGTTTGAATACGCGCGAATATTACGGTACGTCGCTTGAGTGTTCGTAGAAGCAGTCCAGGCGCTTGTCAGCAATATAGCAAAGTCGATTGAAGGTAGATTGATGCCGAATCCCGACGTTTCCGTTGTTGCGAACAGCACGTTATATTCACGTTCGTCGACCGGCTCGTCGAACGACGCGATGATGCGGCGACGCTCGTCTTGCTTCGTGTCTTTATCGATGATCGCGCACTTTCCAGGTCCCAAAACCGCGATGAGGCGGGCCCACAAATACCAAGCACCGCTCGCTATGTCCGACGGCACGTAGACGACGACGCCTTCGGTTGCCATCGTACAAATTAAGTCCACGATTGCTTCCACCGGAGCATCCATACGATCGCCGCTAGGCGGCTCGATTTGAAGTTCGCGCGTGACGCGCAACGCGAATGTGTCGGACAACTCGCACTTCGACACAATGTCAAGCACCTGGTGGGCACACAGATTCCTCGCGGTGGCGATGAGTCGATTCCAAAACGAAGGCGGCTGCGTGAGCGGTATCGTAAGGACGGAGATGTCCTTCTGAACCCGAACGGCGAGCTCGTGCACGAGCGATGTGACCATGGTTGCATCTCGATCCTCGAGCGCGCGTCGTCCCACCGTCAGCTCGGCGCAAAAATCCGCCAACTCGGTCGCGTTCGTGTCATGACCCGTCTGGATACCGTTTACGAAGAATCGCGCGGCATCGGCAAATTTTTCCTTGAAGTCGTCGAGCTCATCATCGCGCACGACGCCAGTCAAACTGAGCAAGTCGGCAAGCTTCGTAAATGTACTCGTGAACGGTGTGGCTGTGACAAGAATGCGAAACGGCTGATAGCCGTTCGCGACACTTTCACTGATGGCCGCGTGCATCGCGTTCGACTCGTCCGAGTACCTCGACGCCTCGTCAAGAATGATGACGGCATCTTCGTGCTCCCGTTGCGCAAAAGCGTCCGCGGCGTGCGTTTTGTGGATATCCTTGTGCCCCGAGACCACAATTTCGAGGTCGTAATTCCCCAAAAATTGTGGCCACAATTCCCCAAAGACGCGTTTCCACTCCGACGTGAGCAAATTTTCCGAAGCAATGACGACGCGCACGCCGCACGCGAGGAGCGCACCCGCCAATAAGAGCACGGTGTGCGTCTTGCCAAGGCCACAATCCATTACGAAAAGAGTCCCCGGCGAACCCGAGCAAAATCGCTCGACCAGAAGCATCGCTGCAGCACGCCTCCGCCCCAGCTCACGCCCCCAGCGACGCCAGTGAGCACGTCGTCGAGGTTCTTACCCGTCGTCAAATCCTTGAATCGAACTTCGTACGTCTCGTATCCGTTTGTGTCGATAGCGTACGCCAAAATGTCGTGGGTCGGACTCGGTTTGAAAGCACCGAGTGAGCAATATTTCATTCCCTTCGCCACCTCGTTCACATCGAGAACGACCTCCGTCTCTGCGCCACGTTCGCAGCGACACACGATGGGATACGACGAGCCTTTTCG